GGAAGGCCTTTTTGAACCCCCTTTGGCAAAATTGGAAGGAAAAATTGGCCATTGGGGATGGGTCCCGGGGGAAAAATGTTCCTTCTTTTTGGGGGGGGGGGGTCAAAGGTTTAACCGGTAAGGCAGGCAAAAAATAAGGGTTCCCCCCCCCCCCCCCCCCCCGGAGGGCGAAGAAATTCGAAAAGTTACCCTGAATCCAGGAATCGTCAAAATTTACTATGAGGTTGCAGTAGTAGTAGATGGATGGCAAACAAACAAACGTGCCTCACGCTCGTTACCCGTTCTGCATCTACCTCCTCGTCATCGATGCCGCAGCCCATGTTCACCCAGCAGTGCTAAATACTACAGGAACACACGGAAACAAGTAGCCTAGTTCGCGTAGCGCCTAATATCTACCAAGAGTGTACAAGAAGAGTCGTATAGTAGTTACAGTATATATTTAGTGGTATCATCGATCAAAGCTCGAAACCATTCCAATTCAATTAGAACAGGCCATTGACCAGCTTTCACATTGAACCACCTGCCTTGCAAACTTGCCCTTGCCGCCTCCTCTGGCACTGCGCAACAGGGGAACATAGTCTCGCAAATCTACTCGTAGCCTTGGTCTTCTTGTTCTAGTTTTTTTTTTAACTGGACCAATCCGCCACACGGGCGACTGGCGGGCTATAATAGCGGCTGCTCCTGGGGTATGCATGCGAAGATTGCGAAGATGACCCGCCTGTCGTGTGCGGGGTGTCTGCCATCTCTCGGGGATCTCCACAGCTCCACAGCGCCAGCAACGCCAGTGGTGATGCACTTCATGCGAGAGCGGGACGCCAAAGCACCGAGGCCTCGGCAGAAAACCCGGGGATACAAGGGTGTAACCCCCCTCCCGCAAAGAACCCCGAAGCGCCGACGCCTCGGCGGAAACCCGGGGATACATGGGTACAAAGAAAGAAAACAACCTTCCCGCCAGAGTTATTATGTGGCACATTCTATTGTCATCAGTAGAGGCCGCCATGAAGAGGCGTCGTGCGTGCTGGCACGTTCAGGTTTGCTACTGGAGCTGAAATATCGAAGGTCGCTGCAGCCTCTGAAAACGGTCCGAAATCTGCGCCGGAACCAAGCGGCATTGAACGTTTGTTACACCCGTGCTCACCGCCACGGACCGTAAACCCCTGACGTGTCAGCAGTTGCTAAATATTAATGGTGCCGGCGCAGATTTCGGACCGTTTTCAGAGGCTGCTGCGACCTTCGATATTTCAGCTCCAGTAGCAAACCTGAACGTGCCAGCACGCACGACGCCTCTTCATGATGTCCTCTACTGATGACAATAGAATGCGCCACCTAACCCTCAAAACTGACCTTGTTTGAGAGCCTTCCGTTTTGGCTCTTTTGACTAGAATTTGGTACGGTGTGAACTTTATCTTTATTGCAAAGGAGGCGTGTGGAGGTAGACGCGTGAAATGTATTTTTTGAGCAGCCTCTACTGCTGCCCTGTGCGAGAATCAACTATTTCTGTATTGCGCAGTGCCTTCCGACTGGTCGGGTGTGTCTGCTGTTGTGCAGTTTCTGGTGCTCTTGCGTTTGTTTTCGGAATTAGTCAACATCAAATTTCGTCTTCTGCTCCCCCTTAAGTGCGATACACGGGCGATGTGTTCGTAACACCGCCACGTACTAAAGCTGCGTGTTCTAATTTGAAGTACGTCAGTAGTACGTAGAAATCACGGTATCGACAGGCAACTGGGTACGTTATTACCCGAGTGCGGACGGGGATGGACAAGCAACGTTGACTCCGATGAACCTCGCAGCGGACGTGGAGGAGGTCGTCTGAACCGGTGCTGTTGCTGCTCTTGTTGCTTTTGTTGTTGTTCTGGCTCCCATCCAAAAAATGGCAGGTCCTTGGCATCTACAACTCGAGCACCACCTCGGTACTCCTGGCTACAACCATGCGAGTCACGCCATAAATTCTTCAGGTGCGCAACAGACCTGTGAGATTCACCAACCCTCAAGCGGTTTCCTTGCTCTTGCCCATTTCCGAAATCGCCCGGGGAGACGTTTCTTCGCTTATTTATTTTTTCGTGCAACGATCGCCCCCCTACCTTTTGAGACCGCCACGAATGCGAGTAAAAAATATTCCATATTTTACGGTACTTTGATGCACCTAACGCCCGTTTTTCTCGCTGCAGGGCGTGAGGTGGATGGCGATGAACAACCCCAGCTTCTTGAGCTAGAGGCAGGTGGACTACAGCTCGGTCGCCGTGTGAGACATCTCCAAGGTGCGTGGCTTTCCTGGACACAGGGGCGGGTCGAAACTTGTCTGTTGGATATGAGTTAGATCCGCATGCGATTCGGTTAGGGGAGGGTTGTTTCGGCAGGTTCACAATCAGAACCAGAACAATGGGTCTGACCGTACGAAGCACACACGCCCGATCGAAAGTAGTGGTTGATGGCCCTGCAAACATGGGTCGCGGTCAAGGTACTCCCGTTGTAGGTTTGAATCACAACAATGATCAAGGCGGACGTGGAAATCTGTTTTCCAAATCGTTTTCCAAATCGTTGCGGCGGAATTGTGCGCGAGGGGGCCGACTGCAAACTACAAGTGCCGAGAAAGAGAAAGAAAGGCCATCAGCAAATAGGCGGCAGATGTCCCGCGAGGTATTGTACGCCAAGCCCCCCCGGAGACAGGCGAACAACGGATCGCCAACACGAACACAAAAAAATGCACGAGCGTCGCCGGGAGCACGGGCCACTGTTTGGCGGCAAGGTGATGGTTACAAGAGGCAGCCAGCAGTTTCCACCGCGACGGCCTTCACCCCCCAAGTCGGCACGAGGCCACTTCACAGGCCCCGTGGGAAGTTGCGAACCGTGATGTCGAGAACGCTTCGGCTTCACCGTCAGGATCAACGGGCGGCAGCGGTCGGCCGCAGCCTCGGACATGGAACCGTTTCACTTCAGGCCACAAGAGCTACACCAAGAGTTGGCAAACGGCTGCGTCCACGTCATCTGGTCAGCTGAGTTGGGTCTCGCCAATACCTCTGCATAGCGCTGCTACACAGTGTTATTGGCGAGACCAAGCTCAGCTGACCGAGACGACGTGGACGCAGCCGTCTGCAAACTCTTGCTGTAGCTCTCGTGGCCTGAAGTGAAACGGTTTCATATCCGAGGCTGCGACCGACCGCTGACGTTCACTTCGCCGCCCGTTGATCCTGACGGTGAAGCCCCAAGCGATATCACGTTCACAACGTCCTGTGAAGGGGCCTCGTGCCCACTTGGGGGTGCAGGCCGTCGCGGTGGAAACTGCTGGCTGCCTCTTGTAACCATCACCTCGTCGGTAAAGGCTCCCTGCGACGCTCGTGCGTTTCCCTTGTGTTGGCGTTGGCGATACTTTGTTCGCCTGTCTCCGGACTAGGCCCTGGTGTGTGCCTTGCGGGACAACTTCCACCTCTTGGCGGCCACCATCCATTCCACCCCTTGTCCCAAACCGGCGTTGTCCACCAGAGTGGATGCCATTTTCGTCGAGTTTTGTGCAGGAGGTCTCGCCCGAAGAGCATTCTATATTTTGCCGACCCTCTTTTCAATCGTGGCGGTTACCGCGTAAGCGGAACAAAAAGCTTGTAGGTGAAAGTCCGAAAACGACGTGCCGTAATAGTCGGAGAGATGGCACTGGGTGCGATCGTTTTTTTAAATGTTTGTTCCTCGGTTTTTTTATCACACCCCGGTGCCATCTCTCCGACCCCGGTGCGGAAATGTAGTAAATCATTTCGTATAATTTTTTCAAGGCACCCCGGTGCGATCTCTCCGACCGGTGCCACCCCCCCCGATGAAATACACACAGATACTGTATGCACGCCCCCCGGTGCCATCTCCCCGACCAGTACCATAGTATTGATACCAGTGTAAACATACCCACGCACACACGCGGTCGTCTGCACACACTGTTGACAATGCTATTATCAGTGAACCACACGTGTAGGTACCGTTGTTGCTGGTTGGAAGCACACCGGTAACGGCAACATATACGTAGCCGCTTTCCGTGCAGCGAGTGGTCTGTGTTTGAAGTCGAGTTTGGCTATGGCGTGACACGGACAACAAACGATCTGGTTTCCATCTGAGGCACCGGTAAACACGGTATCAGGCTGTCTTCCGCTTTCGTTTCGGTCTTCCTCTACGGATACCAGCACGTACGCAGCAGTACAATAGATTCGTGTTGTGCAAGGTGGGCAGGGTGAGGCTTGCACGTTGTGTGTTTGGTTGAGTGTACGGTTGGCAACTTCGAGACCAGTTGAAAAATGAAAACAACTGGCATCCCGCGTGAACCGCGACCATGCATGCGTACCTACAGGACAGGAGTGGCGCTCCGTTGACACCGTCCCCACGTGCAAAAGGTACGCACATGTACCTCGTTCCGGCAGCCGAAAAGGAGCTCAATCTTGGATTTGGGGGTCGGTGAGATTGCATCGCACCCGACCCCGGTGCGTAAATCGAATTAAATCATGCCGTTCTTGTACTTTTTTGCGCACCCCGGTGCCATCTCTCCGACTAATACGGTACCCCTCTTGCCCTCTTGGGTTTTGGAGGGAGACGTGGCCGGTCGTCACATGCTCATCGTTGGTGGCGGCGCGCACTGACAAGCGCACAGCGTTGGCTGAGGGTGCTTTGTCAGCCTTCTTTTTTTCCCGCAAGGATAACAAGTGTGAACCTTCTTTCTCGACGCTCGAAACGCCCTACAGCCTCAACCCTTGGGGAACTCAAGATACTCAGCAGATTCACCTAGCGGTGGCCTTGCTTTTGATCGCGATATGCGTACACGTCCGTCCAAAAAACACGAGCCACATGTCTCAGCAAATGGATGTGAGAAACACATGGAGCCACCGGTTCGTCGATCTCACGTTGATTCCTTATTATTGCATTTTGCATACACAACTTTTCCCGGAGTCGTTCGACACCCAGCGGCACAGCAAGACTTGGGCGGGCAAGGCTCACATTGGAGCCACTTGATTCCTCGCCTTTTCGCGTCGTACTGCGGCAAAGTACGAGCCAGAAGCTTTGGGCGTGGGGAGTAGAGAGTAGTATCAAACTTCGGTCAACAGCTACACGCTCTCTTGCTTTTGACTCTCGTGGGTGAACGCGGTTTCATTTCTGGCACATTCGGCACCCCACGGCGCCAAGCGCTTACCAGAACCCGATGGACCCATGGAATCATGTCCTCCTGCATACTCCCCCTCCCAACACGTCACGTCCTTTTCGTGCAACTATTGTGACGAAAAAACGAACGCATTCCCGCCCTCTGCCTTTTCCTGGTGCCAAGCTTGTCCGCCGGGCTATCTCGACCCGACCCGTCTTCCTGCTAACAACCTGGCTCGTTGTTTTTTCTCGAAGCTACATGTTTGGTTCTGGTGCCATCCTCTCATGCCGGACGGCCACCCGTTCAGATATTGCTTCCTCCCCCCCCGGAGCCGCGAAACAGATCATGTATCAACGTCAGCACCCCCCCCCCTCCCTCGTTTTTCGGCTGCGTACAGGAGGACGAACAACTATTTCTCCTTCCAATCGGCAGAGCATGTATCTACGGAGTCTCCAGGGGGAGGGGGGGGGGGGAATGGGCATGGCGAGCGAGGTTCTTCCGGCCTCCGATGAAGTTGCTGTACCCAAACAAAGCTGGCGCCTATCGCCTGGTCCAGGCCCTCGACGTGTGCTTCGTTGTGATCTAAATCGGTCGACCCCATAGTGACACGACGCACTTTGCGGTAATAGTTGTTGAGTTGCCGTTCGTGAGCACTACGGTAGACGGAGAGACTGCTGTTTTGACATCTTCTGGGAATACTATTTCTTGCATTTTTCCGGTAAGGTAAAAGTGTCCAAAGCTTCTCGAATACATGTAGTCGTATTCCGGTACGAAGGGGTGATGTCTTGCTTCTCTTGCGCTTGTACTCCGTGCCGCATGCCGTACGGTAATCGTGTGTTGTGTAGAAGCGCGCGGTTTCGTGATATACAAGTGTTGATGGGATACTGTAATAGAGAGGAAAAGGCAATCCATATTTCGGGTTCCTCTGAAAAGGGGACCGCCTTTTTTTCCAGGCTCTGTCGGAAAAGACGAAAAGACGAGGGGAAGCAGTTATTATGTCTTCCGTTCTCGGGACAATGGCGGTGTCGGTTCGAATGGTGAAATACTGCTCCTCCGTGGTGATGGTTGCGTCGTGGCGGGAAATTGGGTTGGTCTTTTGGTCGAGAGACCGGCCACGTTTTCGAAGTGATTTGCCCGAGAGGTTTCCTTTTTGGGTAGAGCAAACGCATGGCTGCGTTGTCGCTTGATTTGCGAGATCTGAGATCTTCGTACGCCGGTGTGAGAGTCTTGTAGATTTTTTGTTTTCCTCGGCACCCAGAGCACATGCGCAATACGACGAGCATAATATCCTCTGCCCACCACCGAAAGTACTCATTGGCTGGTGAAGCACTGCCCTTTTGGGGGTGCTGTGCAACAAACACTCACGCATGCCATCGCAGTGAGTCTTTGCGTGGCACATGCCAAGGGGGGGAGGGGATTGTTTGTATGTACAGCATGCAAGGCTGGCCCGTTGCCGCTGTATGTAGTACATGACGGAAACAATCTGCTGTCTACAATAATCTGCCGAAAGAGAACACTGGGCTCAAATGCTGTAAAGAAAGTACGAAAGACATCGTACATCGAGCACCCTTGTGCTCGACGGTGTGGCGACGGAATAAGGAACTGATTCTAAGGGTCAAAATTGTTTGTCTCTACAGATCGGCCGGGTGTACCGTATGAGTCGGAGAGATGGCACCCCCGTGTTAGCGTTTTCTTGTAGCGTATTTCCCCACATCTAGGAGGGTGCGAACACCAACCGATGCCTCTCAGGAAAGCCCTCGACGAGATATTTCCAAAACTACCCTTCTCGGCAGTGGTACCCTCCTGGTTGTGGCGAAATACGCTATACAAAAATGCTAACACGGGGACGCCATCTCTCCGACTCTTCTTACGGTACTGCTGTATGATCTGATTGGACTGCACGTATAGAGATCAGATAAGGGTAGAGCCCTAATCGTGGCCACTGCTGTAAATTGAATTCGTTAACGCAAATCATTCAAGTCTTTTTTGTGGAAACCCCCCACACCTCAATGGCTAGTGCGCTTTTTGAAGCACACCAACAGCACATTAGATCACCCCACAAAGTCGAGCGAAACTATTATTATTGACCGCAAAACTGTAGTTGGGCCTCGGACGCGATGGCTTGGATGAGGGTATTCCGCAGCATCAACCCGACGCCACTAAAAACCTGGGCATTTCCTTGTTCGGTACGAAGCACTTGAAAATTATGTAGGGCGATTTTACATAGTCTACTGCCGTAATGTCTACCAGGTGCAGTAGTAGGTTCTGTACGTTGAAGTTGAAGTGACACAGGAATTACGCGGAGGGAACAGATTAGAGAAAATCTATAACGTCTCCTCGGACGACGCCAAACACGTTAGAGATTGCAACAACGTTCGAGACCAAGCATGATGAAACACATGTACGTCCCGCCGGTCGCATCAGAAAGAGCTTGGGACACGATTATTGTGGATAGGATTGGAAGATATGGGGGTGTCGTATAAGATATTGAATGAACGGGACGTGGGATGTAGAAACATACACGGAGCCCCCGCGGGCCCTTGCCTCGTATCACTCACTGCTGTTGCTGTAGGCGCGCACAAGCTGCTGTGTGCGTGCCTGAGAGCGAGACCATGAAAGACCATGTCAGGATTCTGGTTTGCGGCGACGGTGAGCAAGAAAGAAAGCCTTCGATGTATTGTTTGTCTGTTTTGGACTGCTGTGGAACGGCCGGATCAACAGACCTCTGAAACGCAGCACACACGAGAGAGACAGCACGCGACCAATACGCCAGCAGCAGCAGCAGCAGCAGCAGCAGCAAAATATGTAAACTCCCGTCGGAGACCAATCAGCTTTGCCTCGGTCACAGCACATCCAGGAGCAATCGACTCCATCCGGAAGGAAGAACTCGATCATGACTGCAATCGAGCGTTGGTGCCTCACTTTACATTATTCCTCGATCTCACTTAGACTAATAAGGGCACATCCCTTTCCCCCCGCTTTGCTTGACGCGTGTTTTCGCGCACACATCAAGTTGCTCTCTTGCGCTCTTTCTAACGTTTGACGTTCATCGTTTCGCCTACGCCCTGTTCCATCACCGCCGCCAACAATTACGTTGCCCGGCTGCTGCCGTGCCGATCCTGTGGAAAACGTGTGCACGGGCATGCATACCTACCTACCTGCCCGTGCCTGGGTGCAGATGGAGTTGGCAAGTCCACGTTCATCGGTACACTCATCGCGAGGAACTTCGCTCACGAGGTAGGTGTGTCTGCTGTCTGCTGTCTGCTGTTTGAGCGCAACAACGGAGGATGAGCAGGCGGGGCGGTGTAGGCCTCTCCTCTAAGGAGATAGGCTGCTGCAGGGTTTTTGGCAGGGGACCGTCGGAGTTTTTTGGGAAAAGTACATAAAACACTATAATAATAGCAGTTTGTTTGGGGGCTTCCATGTGGTTCAGCTAGGCGAGGGGGTGTGAGGCCTTCTGGCACTTCAAGTCACGGTTACGTTTGGTTTACAGAACCTTCCAGCTAATATGTAAATTCGGTAGTACTATCCAGGGGGCGCAACCAGCGATACGGCTGCAGTAAAGGTCTTCGATATACCTTGTGCTTGTGCTCTCTGTGCACGGCAATGACTCGCGTTGATGTTCTGTTGAACAGAGGAGGGGGAGCGTCATATATAAACTTGTACTTGGGGTTGGTGCCTAAGATGACTGCTGTTCCCCTCGCTATGCATATGATGGCGTGCTCGTTGGGGTTTACCGCGACCCGTCTTGTGTTGTCCCGCTGTGCTACATCCACAAGTATTTGGGTATCCTTTCAGGGATTGGACATGATGCTGAGTTGCTAGTGTTGACTCTGCCGCAATAGTGTCTCCGAAGCAGTTCAACGGGAAGGGCAAGCAATCCAGCGTAGCCCGTCCCCCGCCCCCCTCCCCTCTTGTATAGAAAAATACCTGCAGTCACAGAACGACTAGCCGTTCGAGATAGCACGACAGTCGTTGGTCTAATCGGAGAAAGGGAAGCAATTTCGAGAGCTTGACTGGCGTGCGCTTCGGGATGGAGTTGTCGGGCAAAAAAAAAAAAAAATGGCACAGCAGTAGTATGGCTTTCATGCTGGAAGTGGGGAAGGTAGAAGAGGCGTTAACCCTCCCACTACCGTGTTCACGAGTCAGTGGCCTTCGTAGGTTTTTTCGATTAAGTAAATATGTTGGATAAAGCATAAAATCGGGGAAGCTGAGTTAAGAGTTAGGGATAGGGAATACGGTCTGCGTCCCCCCTCCCTGTTCTGTTTCCTCATAAACTTATTCATCTCGCGAAGACCGGTCCTCACGAGTACAGTGCCACACCCACGTGGGATCACACACCAAAGCCCACAACACCACCCCCGTGGTAGTATTTTGACGGCTCAAAACAGAAGTTCGCCCAGATCAGGTACAAGGGCAACGTACGATACCCCGTAACAGTAATGCACCCGATGATACATACCGCTGTTTCCGACCCCTGCTTTTGGTGACAGGTGCCGGCGGTGATGTCTGACGTGCACATACCTCCCGAGGAGAACGATGACCAAGTATTTTGCACCATCACCGACTCTTCCGGTAAGCCACCAAAGCTTTTTTGAAGGCACGTACCGTGATGTGATTTTGTTTACGCTCATCTGTCCTGTTTTCCTTTTGACAATCTGTGGTATCTACGCGTTTGTAGGTGTTTCGACTCAGGCCTTCTCTTGCCACCACCAGCAGCTGTAGAAGAGCAGCGATTGGAGAATTAGGATTCCATGCCAGCGGCAGTATCCGTGTGATACAGCATGGTTTCTCAACCTATGTGCAGCTAATCGCTCTCTTGTTTTGCCTTTTATTTTTTTCTTTTGACGATAGTACTGCTGTGGTCGTATGTTGCCTCTCTCGTCGCTATTGTGTTCCTTAGCCCTGCCTCGCGACAGGCAGCAGCTGGTGGAGAAAATGCAGAGCGCGGAGTCTGTCCTTGTCCTGTACGACGTGCAGCGACCGGAGACGTTGACGCACCTCGACACGTTTTGGCTCCCCCTTATCGAGGCGAACGCTGAGGTGGGTACAGCAGTAACGCTCCTCCTCTGTGCCGACTGTTCTTGACTACGTTGCGACTCATGTCGTTGTTGTTGCTGTTGTGGTTGTTTTGTGTAGGTGTTTCCGTTCTGTTGTTGATGTTGTTGTTGGTCGTCGTGCTCTTGTTGGGGGTTGCTGCTGATAATAGTGGTTGTGGTAAATCTCGGAGTCCCTTGCAACACATCTGGTTCGTTTTCTTTTTCTTTCTTGCGCCAGCTCTCTTGAATCTACCTGTGCTGCTGTAATCAAACGTCGCCTTTTCTTTGTTGTTTCCATCGTGCCGTCAGGATGTGCCGGTGGTGATCGTGCGCAACAAGATGGACACTTTGGTTGCGGAGGGAGACCTGGGAGAGCAGCGGTCAGTCGACTTGGAGCGGCAGGTGGGAGTTCTGCACTTAGCGCCCGCGCTTAAGAAGCTCTAGTTTTGGCCGCGACTGGGCTTCTTAGAGCCGGCGGGTATGCTACAAAATGGCAACTGTGGAGTTTAGGGGTCAAGTTTTTGATTTGTCGAGGCTATATAAATGGCTTAGCTGCTAAGCCCTTGAGGGAATGAAGGCAAGGTATTTTGACGCTGGTTCTATTTTAGTACTGTACTTAATTCCTGTATATTAAAGGAAGGCAACCTTCCCGCCGTTTAGGCTCTATGAATTCTACTGTTTATCAGCAGAAGACACCATGCAGAGGCTTCCTGTGTGCTCGTACGTTCAGGTTTGCTGCTGGAGCTGAAATATCGAAGGTCGCAGCAGCCTCTGACAACAGTCCGAAATTCTGCGCCGGAATCTGCCGGAACCACACACCTTACCCACAGCCGTGCTCACCGCCACGGACCGTAAACCCCTGAAAAATGTCAGCAGTAGCTATTGTTGCGTCAGCTACGGCCGTCAACCCGCAGTTCAGGAGATTACGGCGACCACAAAGCGTACAAGACAAGCGTACAAGACACGGGGTGTCGGTCTAACTTGCGGAGATTGTAGGCCGCTACGACCCTCGAAATCACCACCCAAGAAGCAGATTTGAGCGCGCTAACACCCCCCCCCCCACTGCTATAGGGTGTCCTCTGGTGATATCAGTAGAATGTGTTGAACCTAGTACAACACCGACCTTGTTGGAGCGCCTGCCGTTTTGGCTATTTTCACTGGAGTTTAGAATAGCGTGAATTTTGATGTTGATTTCAAAGGAGGCGTGTGGAGGTAGACTTGTGAAATGTATGCTTAGAGCAGCCTGTTCTGCCGCCCTCTGCGAGAGTCAAACGATTTATGTTGTTCGTGATGCCTTGCGACTGGTCTTGGGTGCCTCTCGTCCAATTTCTGGTGCTCTGGCGATTGTTTTCAAAAAAGTTTGTGTGCCATCCCGTAAGTGCCGTCGCTAACTGCATCGCGGCAATGGCCGTGTCGGCCTTGGCTTTCAGACCGTACCGTTCGAGTCATGGCGTCGAAAAATTGTTTTTGGTGAATTCTCGGGGAAATAGTTGAGGGAAAGTCGAATACCCAGCATGTCCACACAAGATGAGAGCTGTGTGCGGCAGGGGGTCGTAGTCGCGTACGTCCGTGGTGGCACCGCACGGCTGTGATGAGAAAGCGGTCCACGAAAGCTGGGTCACGGGCGATGTTTGTGGTGCCCCTTCTTTTGGTCGTTCCGGGTCTCGCAGGCGCTCGAAACGCTGCAGAAGCTAGGGGTGCCACCTAGCCATTGCTGTACCGATACGCCTGCTTGTATTTGTCTGGTGCTCAGTGTTGTTCAGCCTTGTTCAGCCGATCGACGGAACGAAGCAAGCTTGACCGCTTTGCTGCTGCTGCTCTCTCTCTCTCTATATATATATATATGTCCCTCCCTCCCTCCCTCCCTCCCTCCCTCCCTCCCTCCCTCCCTCTCTTGCTTTCAACGTGCTATACCGCCTCTGCGCGTGTTACAATATTCTCACCGACTAACGCTAGCAGCTCTTCTTTCTTTATTCTTTATTCGCTGTTGGTATGCCTAACTTTTGCGCGTTTTCCGCGATCCTCTCTCCTACTGTCTTCGGTGCGTTTTGATGGACCTGTCGAGGCAGATGGAACCACTAGAGAAGCGTTACAGGTGCTTCCACGTCTCTCTCGAGTGCAGCTCCGTTTCCGGGGTGAGCCGGGTCGCGATTTTCGGTTCGTGCGCTCTGGGTAGTGAACCCTAACGCCGTCGCGGTCATCGTTATTGCTGCTGATGTTGAAGGGGGCGGGCGTGGGAGGGTGGAAGCCGTTTGCGAATCCCGGTGGCCATGCGTTGTATGTACTTGGAACACGTGAAGCGATGTGTATCTGTCACGCGTACTGTAACGTTTTTTGTTCGCTCTACGTTTGGTGTTTTCGGTTTCTGATATTCTCTTCGTATACTCCCCCTCGCCCGGCCTTGTCACGCCGTCTTGACTTCCGGCTGTTTCGATGCTCACACCACTATCACCTCTGGCCTCTCTCGTGCTGGTGCTGGCTCGATATTTTCCGGCCGCGCTCGGGGGGGGGGGGACGCAGATGGGAATCAACCAAGCGTTTTACCACGGGAGGACCGCGGCGCTGTACCCCCGCGCACCCCTCTACAACGCCGAGGTGTGTATTGTTTTGGTCTTCCACATGTGATTGCCGTACGCATGCGTAGATGACGTAAGATATCACACACCCTGGACCGATTTTTCAAAGCTGGTACACTCCACAGCAGAAAAGGGTGGCGGTGCCGATAACGCCGGCTTTGGAACCGCCGCCTCTTCGAGAGCTTTCCGGAAACACATCGTTGGATTGATGCACTCCTCGCTTTGTCGTTGGGAATGCGAGCTTTCAAAATCGATCCAGTAGGGGGTGATATCTTGTGTCATGTCACCTACGGCGGTGCATTCGTTATTTTTTTATCGTCTTTCTTTTTCATAGTCTCCTCCGAAAGAACACTCGAGGACACTGCTGTCCTCCGGCGATCGGCGCCGGTTGTGCTGTCCCTCCGAAGATCCGCCAGCGTCTCCCTGACCCGGCTGGCACGGGTGTGCAGGCTCGGATCCCGAAGCTGTCCTTTGCTCTTGTGTGATGTTGCTCTCATTGAAGGAAATCAAGACCATTGGCGCATTCTAGTCAACGTAGGTAGCCCTGTTCAGGTTTCGTTGAACTGGTGAGGGGATGTTGCCCTGCAGCTTGCGGTTGCCCTGCAGCTTGCGGTTTGCTCTCAGCCTCGGTCGCGTCGCTGCACCAAGCAGTGACCTTGCACGCTCTTCCTCTCTGATGACATCGTCCTCGTTGGTGGTGCTATTGTAGTCCAAGCCTCCCCCCAACGCCGCTTGAAGCGTCCCCCGTCATGTTTGGTTTCATTTTCGGGTGCTGGTTGGCTGGCTGCTGTGCTCTCTCTCTACCAGGAGGGGAGGCTTTGCCCCCGTTTCGACCGCGCCATGCGCCGACTGTTCCGCATCCACGACGTGGACAGGGACGGCCTGCTCCGCAATGACGAGCTGAACGCCTTCCAGTTCCACGCCTTCAGGCTGCTTCTCTCGGACAGTGACCTCGAATCCCTGAGAAAAGTAAGCTGCTGCTTGCTTGTGTGTTTTTTTTTTCGCTGACGCACTTGGTTCTTATTTCACGCCCGGATGTTCTCTCGCTTCCCCCTGTGTTTGTCTTCAATGTAAGTTTAGAACTTCTACAAATGATGTAGTTTATGAGCTTGTTCACCGAAGCAATCTCTCGCCTCCGTACGTTTTTCACTGTTTTTTTTTTGTTTTTGTGATCTTGAGGGGTTCATTGTGCGAGATTGCCTTAGGTTGGGTAAGGTACCGCACCCCCTGGAATGATTTTCAAAGCTTCATTACTCCACGATGGAGAGGATGCTGAAATATAAGGATGCGTTGTCGGAAATCTCTCTCTCTCGAGACGGTTTGAACACCTCCCGCTATTTTCGGCACCATCACTGTTTTTCCTGCCGAGTAGTCGAGCTTTGAAAATCGCACCACGGGGTGTAGTACCTTGTGCAGCCTACGGTCAGCAACTTGACGCTAGCTGTAGTCAAAACACGCTTTCTCACCCCCTCTTGGAGTGAGAATTGGTGCTCAAAAGCACACACCAGAAAGTCACACCAGAAAGCAGCTTCAACAGAGTCTATATCAACAGGGGCGACCTACGGTAGAAGAGATTGGCCGCAGTAGCTGCAACGCCAGCGGTTACAACGGTTGAGAGAGAGAGAGAGAGAGAGGGAGAGACATGCACATGGGATAGTTGATTAGGATGGGTAGCGAATTCCTTCGTTTTACTCGTGGAATATGGTAAACCAAATGGCTTGCCTCAAGTCACGCCCCCCCCGCCCGCCCCTACCCTCTTCGTGCGGTTGACGGTTGTGGTCCATCTGTTCGAATTCTGAACCTACACGATGCATGCCTTGTACGCCTTCGTGTCTCCCCGCGACCACCACCGGCGACGCTTGCGCGATTCCCCTTCCCCGCAGGCCGCTCTTGCCCTTTCGCCTCGGTCCTTGCTCCTGTGTGTTCGATGACCACTGTGTAGCAGTTGCCCTATCTCTTGTCACCAGACACCCCGAACTTTTTTCCGGTCTGCTTTTTTTTTTGTTGGGGGGTTTGACGTTGTCCGCAGATTCTGGGAAGACTGGCGTCCGAGGGGGGCGAGGACGTCGAGAAATTCGTCCAGGAGGAGAGAGGAGGCAACCCCAAAGGTTTCACGGAGGCGGGGTTTTTGAGGCTGATTCAGCTGTTCATCGATAAGAAGCAGGTAATGTTGTAGTAAGGGGGGGGGGGATTGACCTTTATTTTTGGCTGTAGAGAGGGGAGGGAGGAGGGCTCGTGAACTAATTGATGTGCTGCTTGTGGGCAAGAACAGGGTGTAGAGGTTGGCGGAGTCAACAGGAAAAGGGGGGGGAGGGGGCTCATAGTCGTGCATGCCGTAGTCGTTAGACCTTTGGCCTCGCATCCCTACAAAGCCGGGACGGAGCACGCCGGGTTCTCACCGGACCAGGCTCTCACTTCACCAAGCGCCAAGCGCCGTGAGGCATTTGGCGAGTCGCATGGAGGGTGTGCTACATCCTGCTAAGGATGTGCCAAAGGGAAGGGGAATGTGTTGCACGTACGGAAGGCGTAGGCCTTGTGTTGCTTGCGCCGAAAACTGTTCGCTGTTTCCTGCGCCGTTTTTCTTTCGGTCGCAGATGAAAGCCCCCTGGCAAGCGATGAGCAGCCACCACTACGACGAGGAGCTTGTGCTGGTGGTACCTTCGGAGATGACTGACCCTCCCCCGGGGAAAGCGAACGCACAGGACCAGGTAGGCGCATCGTGAGGCTGGTGCTGAGATGAGTTGTTGTTGTTGTTGTCTTGACGTTAATAACCGTTCCGTTCTCTCTTCCCAGTACCTTCTTCTGTTCGTACTAGTATTAACGCTTGACGCGGTCGATTCCCGTGGTCTCAGGCTAACTTACCCATAAAAGGTGGACGAAAATAAATTTGACCTCTGAGTAGTTGCTGTAAAACGGTAGGGAGGAAGGTGCGCTTACTGATGAGGGTCGGAATAATGTCAGACAACGACAGCAGTGGTATGGTATGGTGCGGTACGGTATTGGTTGTGCTGTGGTATGATCTTATTCGTGATGCCACACCACAGCGAGAGAGAGAGAGAGAGAGAGACGTGGGCACGGGCGTAAAGATAATTATTCCGAGGATTTGTGTTGTGCTGCTGCTGCTGCTGCTGCTGCTGCTGCTGCTGCTGCTGCTGCTACGACTGCGACTGCCGCCGCCGCTGCTGTTCTAGCTGCTGTGGCGTTCGATTGTGCGACGCTGTGTTGAGAACAATTGATTGCTTTGTGGCACTAACACATGGCTGCTGCTACGGGCCGACCTTGCGTTAAACACGCTTCCAGGTGTTGTCGCCCCAGGCACATAAGTTCTTGCTGGAGTTGTTCAAACAGTTTTCGGAGGAGCGGGAGGGAGGGGACGGTCTCGACGCATCCCCCCCCAGGCTTTTGGCGGAGGAAGGTCAGGCGAAGGTGAGGCTCGCGTTGAAGCTTGTTGTTTGTTGGCGGACAAGGCGAAGCTGAGCACGTTGTACATAGCAACCTCGATATCAATGCCGAAGCCGACGTTCTCGATTCCGAAGCGTTGAATCCTGCGGAGACGAAGAAGTAGTTCTCTGGCTGTAGAAACCCCCACGTAGCATCAAGAATCGTCAGCACTTCTGAACGCGGACGCGTTTCCGCCACGCAGCGCCTCCACTGAACGCCTCCGATAATCCTACGAACTCTCACCGCAGGTCTTTAGCGTTATTCCCGACCCGACCTGCGCTCCTTGGGACCCCCCCCGATCACTGGGGGAGGAGGAGTCTTCGGAAGAGGAGGGTCAAGGCCAGGAAGAAGCAGGAGGAGGAGGAGCCGTTTTTTCCATGCCGCCGTTCGCCAGGCTGGGGCGGGCGCCCGGGGCGGGCCGAGCGTTGACGGCGGAGGGCTGGATAGCCCATTGGCAAATGGTGCGTGTTGCTGTTGTTGTTGTTGTTGTTGTTGTTGTTGTTGTTGTTGTTGTCTTCACGCTGAAGACCGTTCCGATCTCTCTACCCAGCACGTTGATCTCTCCGTACTAGTCCAGCACTTGGCGCGGTCGATTGCCGTGGTCACAGTCTAACTTACCCGTTAAATGTAAAGTAAAATGCAATGGACCCGAAGGGTGCCTCTGTCTTTTGTGTGTGTGCTAACTGGCCGACTAATGAAAGAGTTTAGTGTCAGTGCGGCTAGGAAGGGACAAGCTTCTGAAGGCCTGACCTGGGAACCCGTGAGGGGGCCCCGTGAGGGGGGATAATGGGTGATGCTGAGGCGTGATGCACGCGTGAGCCTAGACTATTGTCAGGATTGAGGCAGAAACGGTAGCAGATGAAGAGGAAATCGTGTGTCAAACGAGGTCGTGTATGATGTGTTTGTAAGGTCGGATCACGGCAGCTGGCCGGGAGATGAAAACCGTGATTTTGTTTTGGATGAGGAAAATCGCGCGCGCAAGTCTTTGCGGCTTGCATCGTCATGCATGTGTTGTGTAACGTGTACGTGTTTGTTTTGATGGGGTTGACAACGCTAACCTGCAGACTGAAAATATGTACAAAAAGCCTCAGCTGGACACAGAATGAAAGCGATTGACAGCAACTACGCCCTCTCCATGCTCAAACTGTCAGCTGGCGCTGCATAGCCCGGTCCTGCTTCGATCACACCTCTTCTACGTCGGCTTCGGGGGGCACGCGGAGGAAATGCTGGTGGACAAGAGCTCGCAGCTTACCTACAGAGCGGCGGCGACGACAGAAACATCTCCGAGGCGATCGGGGGCACGCGGACGGCAGCCCTCGGTGATGGAGGTGGGGTGCTGCTGTTAACGGTATCCTCGATGTTTGTGAAAAGAATACTATTATATTAATAGTTCAAGTAGAAATTAACAACTTGTACAATAAAAATTAGCAAGCCACTTGAAAAATGTAGCAATCAAAGCGAAAAAGGGATTTTTGTAAAACTTGTGAATAGACGAAAAAAAACTAAAATAGTTTTCTAATAGGTAACACGTCGTCGGTGACCTCTGTTTCTGTATCTGAGTGTGTTTTTGCCTTGATGGCGGGGTGTCGTTGGGTGCCAGCGTGCTGACTTGGGCACGAGCTTCTTGTGACGATGCTGGCGCTGAAAGTACCCTCGACGTGGTTTTGGATGCTCTGTTGTACGCGCCTCTCGTCGCCTGCTGGTGGTGTGGTTTCCTCCGTACACTTTAGGCCTCTTTCCGCCTTCTCTCTCTGAAATGTATTCGGGCCTTTCCGTCCCGATCTAGTCTCCTCGCTCACCGCCGTTGTACACCTACTCCCTAGCTTTAACCCCAGCTACCTTACCCGTACAGCTTTCTCCCGACAACTCTTATCTCCTCGTACCCGTTCATCGCGGTCTCGAGCTTGAGAAGGAGCTAGAGACAGCGGTGGCTCGACTCGCGGAAATGGAGTCCTCAAGAGTACGGGTAAAACTGGGAAAGTGGGTAAAGCCGGGTCGGCGGCGGCTCGGGCGGAAGTGCATTAACGGCGGTCAGCCGGGGAGGAAAGGGCCCAAGCACAAAATACCATTTATTTGTTTGTTTTTTTCCCGTCCATGTACTCCATGCGTGGAGCCCCCCGATGTTGGCGGCGCCTATTGTGACAAGAACGAACGTTCCCTCGCTTCGGAGAGGGAGAGTCTCAGTCTCGGTCAAGTTCAGGTGGCCTAGGCAATGGCCATCGATCGGCATTAATGTTTGGTGTTGGAATAATATTACAGCATGCTAAGGGTTTGATTTGAACTCAAAGACACCGCAGGGAGTTGCGAATCTCCAACGCTGTATCCACAGACAGGCGTTCCACTCAGGCAACGGTCACAGATATGGGGCGGTGTATACGATCACCGGACAGACTGTGATGCTCGGTAAAGAGACAGAATCTCGAGATGAGATGGGGACAGTGGTGAAGAGTGAGAGGTGTGCGAGGGTACGCCCTCGCATCCCTCTCGGACAAAAGTCACGGTCAACGATCCGAGGAAGACTCGTGGAAGACGGCTTTAGGTCCCTCGTAACGTTGCACGCTTCCTCGTGGCTCGGAGCGTTGGCGACATCGACATCGCTCCGAGAGACAATTTTCTCCGAGGAGAACGTTGTTTGTAGGATTTGTGGTGAAAGACGTAGTAGGTTGGGTTCGTAGATTTGTGACCCACAATGCCGTCATATATTGGCATTACCAAGTACCAAGCGTCTCGAACAGGAGTATACTATAACGTTTCGATCTGACAATTAATACACCCTATCGCGTATACGACGATTCCTGTCGATGTAGGCCACACGCGTCGAAACTCCCAATAGGCCACCATTCAATAGGCTGTCGTCCGTGGGTGTGCAGATTGCTTCGGCAAGCAGCAAACCGAGAACGCCCCACCGTCTCCCTCGCCGACCCTCCTCCTGTCGGTATGACTTTGTTTGTTGGTTAACATGTAACGCGGCGTTGCCGACGCGAAACGAAAGGTGTTCGTGCTGGGAAGCCGTGGGTGCGGGAAGAGCCGGCTGATCAAGGGGCTCCGGCTGGGGGACGATCTGAGGTCGAACCAGGTACGAGTCCACGATTGAAGTTGAAGTTGAAGTTGAAGTTGGGATTTGGGATTGAACTACTTAAGTCGATGCCTTGGAGGTTGATGTTGGTGTCGCAGGTCGGACGGTAACATATTTTGCAGCACGTTCACCGCGCTGCTGCATCTCGCATCCGTTTCGACCTCCTCCCTCTCCGCACTACGTTCGCCCGCCGACGACACAACCTTCTTTACCACACGACCTTCTTCACCACACCAGCAACCCTCAAGCGGGGGCAACGTCCCTCGTGCGTCGGCTACCGCTTCCGGTGGTCAAGCATCCGAGCAAGGCCCGTCGGAATCGGGTGTGGGTTTGGATACGGAGGAAGGGGAAGAGGCGTCGCCAGAGGACGAAGCGTTCTTGGGGCCCGGGGGGGGGTCGGCCGGCGGCGGCGGCGGCGGCGGGGTGAGCGGAGGGGAGGAAGATTGGGAGATGGTGGCGGAAGCGGAGGTGCCGGAGACATGCTGCGGTTTCGCAGTTCTGGCGGATGTGAGTGCAGCAGCAGTGGCTATCGAAAAAGCAGTAGGCTTCGCAGTTTTATTTTTTATTTTTTTATGTAAGCATGTTGGATACTGCATACAAGCGGGGAAGTTGGGCTGGGGTTAGGGATGGGGATACGGTCTGCGTGCCCCCTCCCTGTTGTGTTTATTCGTAACCTTGTTTATCTAGCGAAGGCGTTCCGGAGAGAAGTACGGATGTAAGAGAGTAGAAGTGGCTTGTCCCCGCCACGAGAAAAACATTCTGCTACTGTTTCATGCCTCTGTTTAAGGCTGCATTATACCAGCAGCTTGTTTGCTTCCCAGCCCTACGACAGGGAATTAATCTGCAGCCTGTTGTAGCAGGGACGGCACGAATGGGACATGGGAGAAGCAATCGCCCGCGTGTGGCGACGATAACGTAGGCCTCCCGTTTTATCTGGAGAATGACAGCAACAACAAAGCTTTTGGAGGGACAACTGCCGGGTTGGCATCCGGCGTTTTGTGTCGGTTCTGCGACAACAGAAAGGGCTGTGGTTGCCTAGATGTGCCTGTGTCCCTTGCCAGGCCTGGGTGACGGCGTGTGCTCCGGAGCGTGTGACTCATGTGCGGCGCATTATTGGGATATGGTTGTCCGAGCGTTGTGGCGGGCGGAGCTTGTGGGTGGATGCTTTGAATCGGCCTTGCAAAGGAGTAGAGACGGGTCGAGCAAGGAAGGGGAGTATGGTGATGGCCTCCTCTTTGGCGCCATGGGCGAACGTTTGCAATGTCTGTCCCACCACAGGCGTTACTAGGTGACGCCATGTCAATGGAATGTGTGATGTCGTTTGGTCCATTACTCTGCGAAAAAACGTGTTGATTCTTCGCGGAAGCTCCTGCAACGCCAGCAACTTGCCTTCCACCTTGACCTGTCTGGAATCGGCGTCTTACTCCTTCGTCAAAAGACTTTCCTACGCGTAGACCGAGTAGACCGGCTGCAAACACAGAACAGGCGTTTTTTGTCTTGACCCGCGATTTTTTCGGCAATGGTGTCATCTAACGTGTGGCTTGGCAGGCGGCTGGCTCGCCTTCGGCCGCAGGTTTTTCGGGGTCCTCCTCCTCCTCCTCGTCGTCGTACGGATCGTCGCTGTCCGTGGCTGTCACCGAAGTGCCGGAAAGCTACACGGACACCTTTGTGGAGGATCAGGTTGGGATCTCGCGCGGTACTGACTTTTTTAGAAAAACTATACGTACAAGTAGCAGCAGTAGAGGTCCCTGTTTAGTTCCGGTTGAACAGCGCCGGTGCCCGGTATTGTGCCGCTGTTTTCGGCGGGAATTTCCAAGTTGTTCTCAATGCTTGGAATATTGCCGGTGAATTTTCTGGGCACGTACCGGCAATGGTTGCGATGTTAGCAGCCGTGGAGCGTGTCCTTGCCTTCGCCATGATGCGCTGCCTTTAGCACTGCATGTTCCGGTCCGTTGCCCCCATAGATGGAACGTCGTGGTGTTGTCGATAATGAGGATCTGCGACCGCTGTCCTCTGACCTTGCCGCGATGATTTGGGTGCGGCGCGTGTCGTTCCTGGCAGGCATGGAGATGCGACCTGGCGTTACTAGTGTTCGACCCTTCCTCCCGGGAAAGCATAGACTTCATCATGCCTTTGCTGGTGAGCATCGCAAAGATAGGCGTTACCATGTTGCTTCTTGCCCTAGTGGTGGGAGCTTGACGTACACTTCGCGACAGCAGCCAGGCGTTGGACGTCCATAATTTTTTTCATTTGCCTCAAATGTATGTTCCCTTGGTATACTGTAAGTCAGTCCGAATGTTGTTGGTTGTCTTCTTGGCACACCTGTCTCTTTGTGGCGGTACATGTGTCGTCTCCCCTTCCCGGCTGGCTTCATAAAGCAGTCGTAGACCCTCTGTAAGGCGGGTTATATGAGGCGGGTGCCCGCTATAGTGCAGGTGAAATTGGCTGGCACAAATAGAATATTCAAGACGGTTAATGGTTGATGCATTGCATAGTGCTGATGCCCTGTAGGGCGGGTGAATCGGTCTGGCGCATACCCGCCTAATGAGGGACTGTGGAGGCCTTCCGGTGCCCCGTGGATGTGTTGTGGGTGCACACAGGAAGTACCCAAGCAATGCGATGCCAAAGATGCCCGCTCAGCTTTGAGTGTCCTGAAGGATTTTTTTCATTTTCCCGGCGGTGTGCATATTTGCCTGTTTTTGTTTTTTCGTGTTTTAATCTCAAGAGGGAGATAATTTTGTCGAGATATTTTTAGTGCCGACAGGTATTTCCTCACACTGATCGTTCCCTATAACTGTTGTTGTTTTTTGTTGCTGTTCCCGGTTCCTGTCGAATGAAATAAACGCGGGCCGGGTTTCCACGTTGTCACCAGGCGGACATCCCGCAGGGGGTGCCTAGGCTTCTCGTGTCTTGCGAATCATCACGCGGAGTTAACCCTTCTCTTGTCCGCATCGCCCAACAAAAGTGCAAGGTGAGCGCTTGTGATACCCCACATGCATGTTCTTGCTGCACATCCCCCTCTTGCAGTTGTGCCTAAAAGGTATGTTGCTGCGAGCGGTTACCTCCGTTGTGACATATATTTAGGGTTTTAAATGTACCCTTTCGCAAGACACAAAGGCAGTACGTTTCGATAGCAAAGCTCCCTTCGATTCTATGTGTATGCTTGTACTGTTTTGGGTTTTTTCACAAAGGTGCTGTGACGGTTCGGAGTACCAAAAATGTTGTAAAACGCTTGTACCACGGACCCCTTTCCTCATTACCCCCTTGAGCACCAAACAAGTGTAAAAGGTCTCCGTTAACGATATCATATTAAGCAGTAGTAGACTTGAGTGGGATCCACGGGCAATCCTAGCGTTGTCTTTCTTCCTTGTCTGCATAGCAACTGCGAACGCAGTAGTATTGGATGCTTCCAAAACTGCTGTGGATATATTCACGTCGTCGAGCACAACTTCACGGCTGCAGCAAGCGGCTCCCAAGCCGTGCACCGATCGCGTCCCTGCGGTCCGCCGGTGCGCCTTCTCGAACGTGCCTTCTTTCCTCGCTTTCTTGCTGGCTGATGGTCGCACGGCAGGAGCTGGAGCTGTCGCCGGTTGTCGCGGTCAACCCCTGCACGGGTTTAGGTCTGGAAGGGGACGGACAGCTCAGACAGAAAATCACGGGTCCTGTGTGGTACGTCGGCGGCGTCGGGTTCGGACGTTGGAATTGGTACTTTTCACGGCCGTACTCTTTGCGTACGGGTGATACACACGTTCGTTTTTACCTTGCTGCTCGCTTGTTGCTCTTGTTGCGCTTCGCACTACACCCTTCGCCATTTTGTATGTACCGTATGGGTTGAAAAAGCGTAGAACCAAGCAGGTTGTTCGTGTCGAATCCCCCACAGATACATGTACCCGTGTGTGTTTGGACGGACGTTTGTGGTTTCCCTCGAAAGTTTGCGTGCGGTGTCTCAGCGCTCTGCAGTCAGCGTTCTGCTGACAACTGCTGCAAGGACGCCGGTGAACCTACCCTCAGCCCCCCTCCCCTCGCTGTGTTACCCCTCCCCCGTAAATGCGCCACCCTGCCACTCCAAAACTGCCCCGCCCGCAACCCGCCTTGCTCCCTACCACACAGCAAGGGGATGCTGCCGTTCGAGGAGAGACACCGCAAGGCCGACCGCAACCGCAAGATCTACATCGCCGTTGCCGCCCTGGCCGTCGCCGCCGGACTCGTCTACGCCGTCTCCTCCTCCACCGAGCAGTCCGCTTCGGCAGCCGCAAATCTCGCCGATACCGGCGGCAGTGGGAGCCGGGGGGCGGGGTGGGAGTCGGGAGTCGGGGGCGCTCTACGCGCGCCCATGCGCGCGGCGAAGCGCGCGGCGGCGGCGGCGGCGGACTACTGGAGGCGTTGGAGATCGGGGAGATCGGGGGGCGGGGGGGAGGTGTTGGGGGGTTACGTGGGGGCTGTAGGAGGTGGTAGCATTTAAGAAGAAGTGGAGACGTTTTTTGTCAAGGGTACGGGGTGAAACGGTCGGAGGTGTTGTCGTGTTGCGCCCGGCGCACATAAAAAGAGGAGTTCTGCCTGAGTGCATTTGGTGGTGGTTGTTGTTGCTAGCACTCAAGTCATGACGAAGTTGTAGCAATGTTTTCCACGGGTGGTGTTTGTTTTTTTATCTGAAAATGCCACATGTTCGTGGGCTTGAACAATTTTGCCATCTGGTCGCTACTTTTCATGGCTAACAACGACCAATTAGAATCCGAGGATCTGGGTGTGCCTACATGAACGGGTCTTCCGTAGAATATGTCTTCATCCAAGGCCGTTTGGAAGAAGGTTGACTACATCGGCTCGCCCCCAGCTGATTCAAACAATGCGTGGAGGATTGGCCCAATCAACGAGAACAATATGCCGCAATGTCAGATGGCAAAACAAACGCTACTGCTGCTGTGCATTCTTCGGATGTTGCAACCATCTGTGCCCCAACATGGGAACAAGTCGTTATTCTGGTTTTTCCGCTTTCCCAACTGACGAACTCTTCCCTCTGTGTATCTATGAATATTCCAATTCTCAACGGGAAGTAAGAAAAAGTGCATTATTAGGGTCTAGACGCCATCGGTGCAGACCGAGGGCGAAAAAGCAGGCAGGTCGATTGAGAAGCATCGGCAACAGTCTCGGAGGTGCAAATGTTGGAGAAGATCCGATAGACGTCCTTCGAAACTTCGGAGGGTGGTGTGGCTGATTGCCACATCACACGGAGAGGTTCTGTCTCCGTTCCTACTTCATGGATTTGGGCAAGCGGTATCCTATTGTTTGTTCGTCGTCGATACCTCCTCCTCCTCCTCCTCTCTCGCATTTTTTTCTCTTTTTCTTTCGAAAGAAAACGATCCGTCCGCCCTCACCGTGCAGACGTTCACCAAGCGCATAATGTTCGCACAAACCGCGAAACCCTACCGAGAACACACATGGAACAAGGTACTCTTATGTTTTGCATGCCTTAGCGGTTAGACCATTGACCACGCGTCCTCGAGAGGACGGAGCATTGTTCCCACAGGACCGATCACCGATGGCCAATCGTTCCTTCCTACTTTGCCAAAGGTGGCTCAAAAATGTCTTCCCTAGTCTGTCTATCCTAACGATATCCCTTCCCGCCTTTTCAAACCACTTCCTACTCCCCAGTACAGCTACCATCCTCTCCTCTCTATTTCATGCCTCAAACATCTCCCTGTACGTCCCTCGCATTTTTCCCAGCTCAGTCATGTACACCCTCTCCTCTTCGTACCACGGACATTCCGCGACTACATGAAGACGGTCTTCGCATTCGAAGCCGCAATCACATTTGAACTTGTCGTCTTCGTTGTCTACCGTCCTATGTCTTCGTCGACGTTCTCGAAGGCCTATGTCCCCGGTCCTGAATTCCATCTTAGCTTTGTCCCTGCATCCATTGGTCCATGTAGTAGGTAATCCTTGAACCCTACAAGTATGTTCCTTCTTTCAACATTCCATACACTTCTAGACCCTCCTCATCCTTGGTTTCTTTCCTTAGATTCTGTTTTTCTCTCTCGGCACAAGCAACATATATCTTCTCCTTGAACCCCTGTAGACCCTCCGTTTCCAGCGTTTCATCTTCGTCGATGTCTAACCCTTTCCATACGTCCTCTACAACCTTGACCCATTCCGTGGGTTGTCTACCCCTCTTTTTGTTTGCCCACTTCGCCTCCCATACTATTCTCGGCAAGCTCTCCTCTCCCATCACGCACATGCGATACTGCCATGTCAGCTTCCTTACGTCTCTTCCCGACCGTAGGGATTGGATCCCCAATTCTGTCCTGACGGCTGCATTACTTGTGCGCTTGGAGCATCCTAGGATGATTTTCGCTGCTTTCATCTGCGCCGCCTCGAGTTCTTTAACTACCTTCTTATTTCCTTCCCATACTTCTCCGGTGTACTCTAGCGGCGGTACGATTACGCTCTTCAAAACCGTCAATTTGACGCGTGTATCGAGGTGCCGGTTTGCGAGTATTGGGTGCAGCTTCCAGCAGGGGGGGGGGGGAGGGGGCGAAGTGTGAGGAATGGAAGTACCCTTGGATTCATGCATGAAGAGAATTGGTGCGCTCTCTGCGTGAGACTGAATGTAAGAATTACCGTATTGTAGTCTAGACGTAGAGAGTGTGCTGCGCGCTAATCAAGACGCAAGGCTAGGTACAAAGTAGCCAACGGTCGTGTGTGTCCAAACCCGGGGGTGTTTGGTTGCGGTCCCCGGGCCGCGGGCTTGGGGGGGGGCACGCGACCTGAATTGATCCTGTGTTGTGATATACCGTCTGAGGGCCCTCTTGATGCCACTGGCCTCCCCTGATCTTGGCCACGTCCACTTGCTATAGCCCACACAGCACGCTAGCAGCCAGATGCACCCACGCATCTGTGGCAGCCGAATAGTCGAGAAGCGTCTCTCTTGCCCTCTCTCTGCTTCTTTCCTGTCCCTGTCCCTTTCTCAACTTGCAGTCGTATCATACGTAAGAAAACAGCCTACATATGCAGCGTCTCCTCTCACAACGACAGCGGCACCCCCGGTGGCCTCGACGCCCCCTCAACGACCTGCACAAGGCCGTGGAGCGTGGCGACACCGAGCGCGCGGTAGCCCTGCTGTCGAGCAAGAAGTTCAATGTCGATGAAGGTGGTGGCTCGATGGGCGTGACCCCGCTCATGATTGCCATCTTCAAGGGCAACCTGCGCATGGTCAAGATCCTTCTCGACGAAGGTTGCAACTTGTCGATAACCAACGATGACGGGGCTGGTCCTCTCCACCTCTCGGCTCAGGGGGGGAAGTTGAGTATAACGCGTTTACTGGCAGAAAGGGGCGCAGAGATAGAGGCGTCGACTTGGATGAGCGCGACACCGCTTCACGTCGCTTCGGACGAAGGACACTCGGAGGTGGTGAGAGCACTGTGCGAGGCAGGCGCGGACGTCCACACCAGAAAAGCGGACAGGTCAACACCGCTCATCTCTGCGGCGATAAGAGGACACGCGAACTCGACCAGGGAGCTTCTGCCCGCGAAAGCAAACCCGCTGCTGGTTAAGCCTAATGCTGTAGGTAAGAATTTCACTCCGCTGGATGCGGCAGCACTGCACGGGCGGGCGGAGGTGGTGCGCGAGCTGATAAAGCAGGTCGGCATCAGAGACTGATGTGCCGATCCCAGCGGCGGCGTGGATGCTCTCGAGCTGGCCGCTCAGGGCCAGCACGTGGAAATCTTGGCCATCGGATGCTGGAGTGGTGGACCCAGGCATAGCCCTATAAACGTCTCCGCTGACTGTGGGCACGAGGCAGCGGTGAAGTTCCTGTTGCAGGCACAGTCGCACAAGCGGAGGATAACAACCGACATTCTCGATGCTCACGGTGCGTCTCCGTTGATTCGTAGCATCGATGTCGACGTTGACCGGCTATGTTTTCCCAGGATCGTGCGCATACTCATTGACGCCGGAGCAGAAGCGAGATCGGCACTCCGCATCACCGAGAGGGGCAAGGTTTTCTTCCACGAAACGCTCCTCGCATTCACGAACCGCACTCTCCGAGAAAACAAGGTGGCAGGAAAGCCCGCCGCAAAGATGCAGCTGCAAAGGCTAGAGGCGACCCGCCGCGTGCTGTTGCGAGTGGAGGCAATTCATGCGGCCTCTTGGGTTTGGATCAGGCATGTGCCGTCCAAGAAGACCCAGAATGTCGAGAATGCCCGGAGGACTCCACGAAAAGCTTCGAGAACGCCGCTAGGGTTGATGGTGCCCCTCATCAGGCGAAGAGCTGTCGCCCGTCGCGTGCTCTTTGCTCCCCTCTGGAGGTAGGCGTGTGATGACGCTTGTTGGATGTTCATGGCATCGTCTTGCTCGTGCGCCAATATTTTGAAGAAACGTGTAGCATAGTACCACCGTCACCTCAAGGATTTTTGGTGACAAAAGTGAAGATCATGCTGCACTTTTTCTATTAAAAAACCAAACGACCTCATCTTGTTCGATAGAAGAATCGTTCCTCCTGCCTTGTGCCAAACCTGTGTGTCTTGTGTGGATGGCGTTTGTTGCGTTCTTCTTGGTTGCACTCGGCCCTTTTTGTCAAATTGTAAGGAGCGTTTGGACAATGTCGTCGCCGGAGGCTGCTTTCCTGTTTTTGACAGTACCCTCGGCAAGAACCGGACGCTAACTACTTCGCCTCGACAACACGACCATTGCGGGATATTCATGTGCTCGCCTTATCCTTTGTCGATATCTTGCTGTATCCGCGTGCGTTTGCAGGCATTCAGCAAAGCAATGATCAAGAGAAAAGAGAACGCCTTTTCCATTCAACGTGGCGGCGTTTTGAGCGGCGTGTTCATCAGGCCTTCTTTCTACGACAGCGGCAGAGGCGCGGATGAGTTTGCACAATTTTCAAGAGGAAGTGACGTCGTTGGGCGACATTATGGATGATCCAGCGTTTTCTAGATCTACGTGCTGTAGCCTTTAGGTTGCGTTGCAGATCATTAACTCAGTCAAATATGTTCGACTAAGGGGAGATGAGACTCAGCTGCCGGCATTCTTTAACGGGTAAACGGCGTCACGACTCCTGTGGACGCCAGCCTCTGTTTTGGTAGCTCGTGGTCGGTGCTTTGATTCTCGCTCGACGCATTGATTTCGGCGGTGAGCTCGCCCTGCAGGCGTTAACCTGGATTGACTTGAAGTCAGACTTGAAAGGATTGTAACATTGTGTATTCTGTGCGACGCTAGCCCCATGTCGAGGTGGCTGGTGATCGGCGATCGGCGTCCATGTTTCGATGCTGGGCTTGCCCTGCAGGTTTAAAAAGTGTAGACTAGTAGTCTAGCTTGGCCATTCCGTAGTACTGCTCTCTGCGCTGTGTTTGTCAGCCGAACAGTTCTAAAGGTATCGGCCATGGACATGTGCCCGACGCCAATACAGGGTATTTTCACTTTCGTGACATGGCAGAGGTCCGAAAAGACGTCAAGCTCACTATGATGTGAAATGTACCTTGTTGAGACTCGTAGCTGTCGGGTCCGCCGAAGCCACGATGCTCCCGCTAGGAAAGTCTTGCCGTAGAGTAGGCAAAGGGTATCGTAGGGAAACGGCCGTGAAGAAAGTCCACGAACGAACGCATTGTATCATCACGCACCGTTTCGTACTTCAAGGCTCCGGTTGTGGATTAAGGAAAAATAAATACACACACAGAAAGACTACCCATTCGAGATTCACCCACAGTCGAACGGGATGTGGTGGAGTCTTTTCAGTGAGTGGAGGAAAACCGGCTGGCTGGGTACTGGACTTATTTCATGTCTTTTTAATCTTTTCGTCCAAATCGCTTCCAGATGAATCGCCTGTGGATGATGTTGTCGTCATGCAAAGTGCATGTGAACTCCCGACAAGTAGATGACGTATCCATCGATTCTTTGCTTGTGACAGAGACGGCCACGGCCACTTCCTTAGGAGCAACAGACGAGGCATGGATTTTCCACGATTTCCGTAGATTCGCCTGGCTTCAAAACTCTTTACTACGCGTGTCTGTGGTGTTGAAGACACGTTTTCGCGGGCTTGGCACGTTGGACACTGAACTATGTCCAATATTCATGAAACTTCGTTGCGTACCGAGGCCGCTGCATCCTCTCCAGTCGTCCGGGGAGCAAGTATGAAACATTCGTATTTACCGGGTCTCCGTCGACCGCGTGCTTCCTTCCATCCATCGTTGCAGAACGGTGCGTACTTGGAGGGGTAGGGACAGAGATTCAGTCGGCGTTGTATTGGAAAGCACGAATCCAGGTTGTCTACCATCAGAGGCAACCCACAGTAGTCATAATGTCCTGGTCGACTCTGTGTGTCGTATGGGTCTATTTTATAGCTAAATCGGACCAAAAACGAATCAATGTAGGCTACTGCAAGCCTTCTCGTGGAAAACGCGTGGCAACCGGTTTTCCTACCGAAAAGAGAGCACCCGACTTGAGGTCTGCTGTTGAGTGGGGAGAGGCGGTGTTCCGCATCCGCGTTGACCATAGGTATACGTGGATGGGTACAAGGAGTGAGAGCTTCGACACGATATGAAGCCGCAGCAACGTCGTATTATAGTACTCTTTACTCTGATCTCTCTTCTTGAGGACAACGCCCGCCCCTAACCTCTCCAATCCGATTCTGGCAATCTTGCCAACAACCGTTCGCCCGACATATCGTGGAGCGCCCTCGACACTGAGAGAAAAAAAACAGAGTAATAATGATATTCTCAACATCTTTGCAGCTACTCATCACATCACAAACCTCGAACACCTCTTACAAACTTCTCCCAGCTTTTACCGCCAGCTTCGAAACCAAAACCCCAGGGTGTGCGTTGTATAAGACTATGACAAGAGCATCAAAATCCGGCCAGCGTCTAATACGGAGTGTCCCCGCGCGAGGCGAAATCTTGTCTACATGGTTCCTATTCGTATCGTACTCAAGCACGGCGCGCTATCGTGCCCATTTTCCTCGTTGGGTACAGTAGTATGCACAAACACCCGACGGTACAACGGCAGGTAGCCCGGAACGACACAACGCTGCAAACACGATCGCCTCAGGATTGATACCCCGACGCTGTTCCTCACGCACGTGCAAAGCAAGTAGGCATGCCTGCGGTCTTACGCGGCGTCGCAATACAAGGGAACAGCAAAAGAAGATCGCGCCTTGGTTCAAGCAATTTTTTTCGCCCAAAAACCTACGGCACTAAAAAAATGAATTAAAAAGATTAAATAACGATGCTAACTCACAAAGTGTGCAAGAAGACTATTCGGCGCTATGAAAATCTCACAAAGTCGGTCCCTCCGCTGGCTAATGCACGTAACGCATCTCTTTTACCATTGCGTGGCGTTTCTAACCCTCATGGCCTTTCGCCAGTGCTATTGCTGGCATGTACATCAATTTCTGTGGATACTTTTAGCAGAGATTTATTCCGTCGCTATCATGGCCTGATTCAGACGGATGGCACACGGAAAATGTCTCTTCGCCGAGGTGTATCGTGTAAGCCTACAACATGAGGGCCGGAGACCCTTAGCCGCCGAAGCGCGAATCATCGTGTCGCTCATTCCGCCCTCCATCGAATATGCGTACGTCTAAGCTCATACGCCAGAACTTGTAAATTTGAAATGCCTACGAAGAACGCGGGGTTGGGACCGTGGTGTCCTCTACCGACAATACGTTTTTTTCTGATTTCATCCGCCGCTCAAATCTCGCTTCTCCCCACCTTCTCAACACACCACGCTGTTCCCTTGTTCTATGTTTCGTGCTGCTGTCTAGGGCGCATGCCAAACGCCTTCACATCTATCAACCAGCGCTTGCATGCGCCACACCTTGACCCCACCTGCCCACCGGCCGCGCCGCACAGAATCGGCATGCTCCAGGTCAATGCGCGGCTCACCTACCACCGTTGTACGATCTAGGTGCCATCAAAGGTCCCCAAGAGGCCACTGTTGTGCAGCTATGTCTGGAGCTAAGCCGACTTGTCCACGGCAAACCGCTCGCCAGTCGCTCCAGCACAACCAAAACTCGGACGTCGCACATTCTGACTGCTTTATTGCGCGTCGTAGCCCACGAAAACAAGCGCGAAAGTTTGCGGCACACTGTTGTTCGGCCGAAAGCCTGCGGGCATGTGGTGCAACGCCCAAACTCCGGTGCCCTGCTCGTGCCCGTGGAGAGGGACTCGACACAATGGGCAGTTGGCGAGACGCTTTGGAGGGATCAAGCAGACCCTTGGGCTTCTTGTCAGCACCGCCACAAACGGCAAGTGTTGTCCTTAGAGCCTGCGATCGGAGAGCGAACACGACGAGGGCGACAGCATGACTTTTAGCCAGCATTCAACGAAAAGAGACGGCGCATCGCAGTTTTTGGCAGCAAAAATTAGCCGTCTTTAGTGCGATTATTTCCCTATGCCACCCTCCGCATCTTGGTTCCAGTGAGCAGGCGTCGGTGATCACACTTACGAATTTCAGCTATTCTTTATTCTCAGTTGCGGGCCAGACCCTGATCGAGGGACACTGAATCCTCGCCGACCCCCGAGCGAGCAGAAAAAAATATCAACGCCCCAACTTCTTGTCGTCCACGCTCGACGACTTCGCTGTATCCCGTCTAGTGGATCGAGCGTGGGATATCTCCCAATTTATCGAGTGATGTTTGTAATCGTATTCGCCCCTCAACTTTCGGTCGCCTGCTGTTACCCCCCCGCACCCCGTCGCTGCCAAAAGGGTAGGGAAACTTGGCCCGATCGAGCGTACACGACGGGGCGGCTTTCAGCGTTCGCGTGCGAGCGGTAATGCAACCCTTCCCATCCGCAAGAACATCTCTAACCAGCCGAGCAAAGGCCCAGAACGACGCTCTTCCCGCTGACTACCACACGCCCTTTTCCGTACCAGCGCCATAAAATCGCGTGACGACGATCATATCGTGCCTGTGATTATGGATATGGTACCTTTGATTGGGGATATATCCTACCTGTGATTGAAGATATCGTACCTGCGATTTGGATATCGTACATGCTATTATGGATATCGCACCTGTAATTATGGTGTCTCCCTCGTAGTTGAAGGCGCAGGAGAATATCTCGTCCGTGTGCCCTTCCAGGATCTGCAGGCAGTCGCCCGTGTCGGCGTCCCACAGGCGAGCCACCTTGTCGCTGCTCGCCGTGAGAATGCGAGTCCCCTGGGGGTTGAAGCAAGTCTGAAGAAGAGGAGGGGGTCGAGGAACTGGACATCAGGGAGAGTGCTGTAGCGTGTGCAGCGATGTGCGTGGGCATTTATTTCCTCCGTGAATGGTGTTACTATGGTCAATTATCTGCAGAACGCGCGGCACCTCGGGGAACAGCCAAGACTGGATAACACGGTGGTGGTGGTGGTGGGTAGTCGGGGTTGGGCTGATAGATGTTCACCCTTGTGCATAAATTGAAGTGATCTTTCGGTGTTCGCCCTTGTGGTGTTGGCAACGATTTTTGTCCGGACATCAATGAAGAAACTGCAGAGCGGATGGGGCTCGTATCTGCCGAAGTACAGCTCACAGAAGCCTTTGACAACTTCCGCCTCTACTCCCCACAGTCCCCTACAGCCACGTCTGAAGGAACCTATTGCCGTTGCTTGCCATCCTACTGAAGTACCGAAGAAGCGGGCCATCCTCCTGTCCTCACCACACCATAGAGCTCAGAGCAACATAATCTGTGTCGACGTTTCCGTACACACTTATCCACCCAAAACCTGCCTCACGAAGGTAGCACCGTGGCTGCTAACCAGTATCCACCTCTACCTACTGGTGAAGATCGCCCGGCAAACCCTGGCCATCCTCTTCGTCTTGAATTCGATCCCTCACAAGCAGACAACATTTCATTTTTTTCTACACGCGAAAGCGATGGTGGGAGTCGGGACCGATTCTGTTCGTGTTCGTACACTCAGCGGTAAGAACGAACCTTCGATATCTCCCCCTCGTGGCCGATGAGGATGGCCTGGCACGCCCCGTTCATGGTGTTGAACACCCTCGAGGTGCCGTCGGCGCTCGCCGTCACCAACCTCGACCCCGTGGCGTTAAAGCTCACGTCCAAGATCTCGTCGTTATGCCCGCGGAGCGTGTGGACACACTGTCCCGAGGCGACGTCCCACACCTGTACAGTTATGGCCGGCACGTAAGAACCTCTTATTTTGGCCAAGGCTCGTTTCTTATTGTATCTATAGCGTGACGACATAGGTTTTTGTGTACGCTTCTTGATTGAGCACCTGTCCTTATGGTCAAGATCTCTTCTTTTGGGTTGTTTTTGGCTCACGTTCTTGCTGCTAAGTTCTCAAGTAAGCACGTTTTTGGCATGTTTTTTGCCGCGCACGATTCGACGTGTTAAAATCTCCTGGATACGAGTAGCACCCGACAGGTCAGGGCTTGGCCTTTGGCGTGCGCAGCGCAAGGGTGCCGGCCGACAGATCAATGTCGGCGGTGCACTCCGACTTGTGCGCCACGCACGATCACATTCCGGTGACCTCAAAGCGCATACACGTGCTGGTCCTACCAGACGTCTCAGAGCCTCGGTGGGATTCGCCACCCCACTGAACCGCTGTATGCAAACGGTTCTCAATGAGCAACAGGCAGGACAAAGAAGCGATTGGCGTTAAGGGCCGTTGTGACGATTACTTGGCTCCAGTGCGCTGAGGGGAAGGCGTCGCGTTTAGGTGTCCCCCAGAAGGTGTGGAAGCTAGCACTAGGTCATGGTGGCCATCTCTTGCCCTATCTCGATGTTGTCGCGCGCCGCAAAGGCTGCTTGATGTTTTGAGGGTGACAGGATACAAACGAATTTCGTTTTTAAATTGTACGTTTGTGTGCTTGCACGACTAACGCCCTCCCGATCTGGGTTGTACAGCATGTTCGTACCTTGCACGTGCGGTCGATAGAGCCGCTGATACAAAGATCAGAGGAGTAGCTAAACTGGGTGCTGGAGATTTCTCCGTGGTGGCCCGCCAATGTGTGCGTGCATCTCCCGGTCCTAACATCCCATACTTGGAAAACGCGAAGGGCACGAAACGAACGAGGGGGGGGAAACCACAAAGCATATTTATTTTGTTATTCGTTCATCACGTTATCTCAGCGCTCACAGAATTTTTCCGCCGGCTAGGATATGGAAGCTTAAAAAACACCGTGATATAGAGGAGTGTTGTCAAATATGGTGCCCCGCCGACAAATGTGGTACTGAAACGCCGCACAACGCCTTTGTTTGAAGGGTACGAAAGGACTGAGGGTGTGCTTCATACGTCGCGAGGGTGAGAACGAAAAAGGCAACGATGAAGAGAGGTGAAGGCAATAACGGTCCCCCCTTATGCGCATCTATTGGGTGGGTGGCAACAAAACGCGGCGTCAAAGAACTTTCATCCTCAAACGTGCTTAAACGCCTTCGCCGATGGAGGTGGGAGAAGCGTACGCCGTCGCACCAACGCAAGTCAGAAAATTCCCCCCAAGGGCGCGGTAAATCAGTGACCGACTAGAAACAAGTATATGGTCAAGTGCTGGCACTCCAGGGATGGGACTGTCAAATCCGCTCGAGAAAAATAGAAGCACTCGCTAAGAACGGTATCTCCGGTGTGCGCCCGGATCGGAGCTCTCCGTTGAGAAGCGTAAAGTGGTATGGTACGAAAAACAACGGGCAACGATGACAAAAAGAGACCTATCATAGACAGGAAGCAATAGTGACGTTGGAGTCAGGTTCGCACTTACGTTTCACGGTGTGATCGAATGAGCCGGTCATGACCCTCTGCCCGTTGGTGTCGAAGTTGAGAGACACAATCTCCGCCGTGTGCCCCAGGAGCGTGTGCAGGCACTCTCCCGATTCCACGTCGAAAACCCTGGCAAAGACCGCACATAAAAAATGAAACGCTATATCAGAGCAGTGTCAAACAAAGACCCTCGGAGATAAGCTTTGCAGAGGATTTGAGTGGTAGAGGGGAGGGGCACACTGGCCGCCGTAGGGGATTTAATCCCACACTGCTGTAGGAGCAGAATAAATATGCCGGGGCCTGAGGACCGGGACTACGTCGGTTTCCAAGGTCCACCACAACTACTTTATCACCAAAGAAAACATACTAAGGAGTAGTAGTACCCTTGGTCATTGAGCACATTCTGTAGAGGGGACACAGCGTGTTGGACTAGACTACGCCAATAGAGTAGACTAATAGAACCACATCAAACGGACCGTTTTTCGACTCCCGGACTATGCCTTCGCGAGAAGTTGCGGAGTATTGTAGGAAACAAGCGGATGAAGTCTCCGCAAGCATGGAAAACAAACGGTAACCAGCGTGTGCTGACTGGAGTAACGCAACTGTTACCGACGTACAAAAAATCTCATGCACCGAGTCACGCTCCAGAAAGAAACACTTTGGTGCTTCACCTCTCGCGCGCGGCAAGAAAATAATATGGCCGTCAGGCTCAATACGACGGCAAGCAAGGACCGAATCGCCACGTTACTGTCCATGAGGTCTCGAAAAGGTGATGGCAGGCAGAGAGCGAACTAGCTGAGCTGCACGCTGCCTCACCGAATCCGAAGAACAGTCACAGTCATACACACCAAGCCCCAAGAGCAAACATGCCTCGTCCTTGCCACCAACACATCGAGGCACAACAAACGAGGTGAGCTCTGAACTCAAGGTTGCCTCCCTTCCCCTCCGCCGTATCACCTGGCCGTGTTGTCCATCGAGCCCGTGGCGATCTTGGTCCCGTGCGGGTCGAACGACAGGCACACGATCTCCGTAGAATGTCCTCGGTAGGTGTGGTAAAGGTTACCCGTCTACGTGGGGGACGCGCGCGCGCACGTGAGAATACCGGAAAGCGGAACGCAGTCGAGTTTGCAAGAACAGGGGGAGGAGGGAATACGGGACACGCATGTGTTAGGGTGATGGACACGAGACAGTTGCGTTTGTGTGGCCCAAGGAGGTAGCACCTGTTCCCGTCTTGCCTGCCTATTGCCGCCGCAAGACTCAAGCATGGTGTTTTTCGACCTTGAGAGAGTGCTGGCACTATTAGTACGGCCAAACACCTTCGAGATGAGTATTCAAGCACGGCATGAAGCGCGACCAGGTCGGAGCACAGTTCTTGCCGATACGCTGATAATCCAACCAGCGCTCTACCTTCCTTGAACGCGCCAAACCTAGTTACGATTGAGGCCCTTGCTCGTCCAAATTCGAAGGAATACTGTACATGTATACCAAACTCTATTGACGGCAATATTCAATTTGAAGGAGGATGGAGTCCAGCCGTTTTCATCCAAAACGCTGGGTTCGAATGTTGCATGTGCGCAAATGTGTCAACCCCCAGCGAGGGCGGGCGGGCGGGGCGGGGGTAGATGTATGTCCCGATGGTTGAATCCTTCGATTTTTCCGCCAGCAGCAGGACGTTGGAATAATCAGTGACGAGCGAGCTGAACAACAGGGAAAACATAGTCCATGACGGAGCCCATCGCGGAAGCGTCCAGTGCACCACTGCGGTTGTGTAGACGCGGATCATTTGGCAAGAACCAATGAGTCCTCTCACCGTGCACGCCCACAACATATTCGACGTGCTTTCCAGACAGCTCCCGAAGCAGGCCGTATGTCAGTTGCCCTCATCTCCATTGCCGAAAGGGGATTGCTTATGGCTCAAGCAAAATACATCTATCACTTGGCGGTTATACAGGACAAACAAATACCGCCTCACCTCAGCGTTCCACAGCTTGCAGGTCTTGTCGAATGATCCCGTGATGATCTTGTCCCCCCAGGGGTTGTTGAAGGCGATCGCGTACACGACGTTGCGGTGCCCGTCCAGCGTCAGCAACTCGTCCCCGGTGGTGGTGTTCCACACCTGGCGTGTGCATGGGGGGGGGGGGGGGGTACTCATAGTCCTGCATGCCGTAATCGTTTGACCATTGACCTCCCATCCCTACAAAGCCCGGACGGAACACGCCGGGTTCTCACCGGACCAGGCTCTCACAGCACCAAGCGCGAAGCGCCGTGAGGTATTTGGCGAGTCGCATGAAGGGTGAGCTGCATCCTGCTAAGGGTGTTCGGCATCTTGTGCTTACTTCCTTGCGTACGGATGACAGCTACGTATGACTTAATTTATTTTCTGGTGCTTTCACTTCCAGAGACAGTTGTAAGCACTGTGTAACTGCCTCGAGGAAGCTTGACCATTTTAACACAACGTGGTGCGATCATCCCCCGTTGCGCGGAGTGAGGTTTCTCGACCCCGCACAACATGATCTACTCGACCACCATTATGGTTACCGCCAAAAAAAAAAACGAGGTAAAAAAAAAAAACGGTAACCTGGTTGCCGAGTTCACGAAGTGAATTGGCTTGTTTTACAACGTCGTTGCCAAGCGACGAAAACCCAACCCCGATGGCAAACACCGGGGGGGGCGGCTTGTTTTACAACGTCGTTGCCAAGCGACGAAAACCCAAACCCCGATGGCAAACACCGGGGGGGGCGGCTTGTTTTACAACGTCGTTGCCAAGCGACGAAAACCCAACCCCGATGGCAAACACCGGGGGGCGGGAGGTGTGTGCATGGGGGGATGGGAAAATGAGGCTTTGAGCGCACGAGGTCGCGCGATGTGTACAAGTAGAAAGGGGGTAAATTCGAGGGACAACGGTAATATGTCGAAGAAGATGACCCGCAAACTACTAATAACAACAACTTGAAGGGAGGGGTCGTGGGCGGGGGGTACCTACCTGTTCATGCGCATGGGCTTCAGTCTACGAACATCGAAAGTCGAGCTTTTGGTTGTACGGTGAGAAGATGGGTTTCCGCCCCGGGGGAGGGTCGCGTGCTGCCAGTTTTCGCCAACAATCTGGCAACCGACTAGAATTCTGATGAAAGCTCATTGACGTGTAGCGCTTGAGCGTTTTCCTTGAGCAGTCGCTCTTGAGATCCTGATGCACGCATGCCTGTCTTTTCCTCACCTTACACGTGCGGTCGTACGATCCCGTGATGAACTTGTCTCCAGACTTGTTGAAGGCGCAGTTCGTCAAAGGCAGAATGTGAGCCCGAAGTATCTGCGAATTGTTAACAGATCAGTGTGGGCAATAGTAGGGATGGGGGGAAGGTTCTGCATCGTTCAACCGTCGACTCTCTCGTGCCCCTCGCCAACGGTATTAGATCATCGCTGTTTCCAAAACAACCCTCCAACCCGAGTAAGTTTGTCGAACGCGCAGAACAGGTGTCTGCCTAGGAACTTACCAGCCAGGATATGTCTTTTTTTTTATCGAGGTGCTGGGTTCACCTTGAAGAGGTAGAAATCGTCGCACTCGTTAGTTTCCAGCTTCTCGATCAGCTTGTGGACCAGCCTCCGCAGCTGCGGCTTGCGGTTCTCCGAAATCAGCGGTTCCTCGAACACGATCTGGTTCACAAGCACGTCTACATCACTTCTGCTCGTCAGCGTCACCCGGGCGCAGCGTGACGCAGGAGAACCGGGTGGGGGGCGTGCAACAACATTGAGCATTATTGATTTTCACATTGTTGTAGTCGTCGGGATTACCCTGGTTGTGGTACCGGGGGTGGGGGGTGGGGGGTAAATGAGCAGGGAACATGAGGACAAACAAGTTTGCTCGGTCTTGGTGCCGGGATTTGAACGTTACGTGCTCTGACTACATAAAGACGAGCTGACGTAGCATACGCATGTGCATATGTGCATCATGTCTCCGGGAGCGTGGTACACCCCTGAGTTAGGACTATTTAGTCTAGACTACCAAGTGTCTGGGGCTTGTGGAAACAGACGACGTCAAGAGCTTCACACAAGAAACCACACGCAGTCCTTTGGCGCAGTGCAGCATAGCGTAAAGGGATGGATGACAACTTGTCTTGACAGTGCCTAGGCATTGGGTTCTCTGGGACCTTGCGCGTGACGATCGATCTTGGCTCGTTAAACTTGAACCCCACGTAAAGACTATGGACATCTTTGAGGGCGGTGGGTACAGGGTGCTTTTACCAACGGCAAAAAAGTACGCTGAACGGCAGTGTAGCTGGTTTGGTTTGGCGTCCTCACGTTCGTTCTCACGTCATTGCTGACGGGCAAGGGTAAAAGTTCGTGCTTCATGGTACAACACGGCGGACCCGCGATCAAACGAAACGTCCATTTCGGGTCGAGGCTAAGTTACGTCTTGCCGTTTTTTTGGTCGCCGCCGTCGCTAGCCTACCACATGCCATATACATGGATACAGATCTACAAGATGGGGATGTGGACTACAGATAGTGTACCTATCATTTTCTCAACAGATTTTTTGTCTTATTGCTGGGACGGTACGGTCTGCTGTGCCTTGTTTCACATACCTCCCTCCTACACTGCGTCTAAACTTACTTATCCACCACGTGCATGGACTAGCCCTAAATAGGCACATGTTATGTAGAGGTCCACACTCGTGGTTTATCATTAAAAAAGACAGTAGTAACACCCAGCTTACTCTGGAGATAGGTGCAAAAGATCGATCTCCTTCATCTCCCGCGACCTATCTCGAAGCTCGTATTCAAGCATGATCCCTACCATGACCGACCATGGCAACAGCAGCGCACCGGCGGCAGCAGCACAGCAACAACAGGCGGCAGTAATGGCAAGGGAGGGTGACCACAGAGTGAAAAGACAAGAAGGTGTCGCGAACGCTGAGAGGCACGTAACGCCGCGTTGGAACCTACAATTATACTTATAATTAGTACAATGAAGCAGCACCTACATGCCTACACACTGCTCTGCCGTTTTTGAGCAAGCCTCTGCACTCTGGAGTGGAGTTTCGCACAACACGACGTGCCGCAGTCAGTCAACAGAGGACACCTGGTGTGATGCGGAATAAATAATTAACATGTTGGTCGAACTCCAGTAGACATGTGAAGAAAGTGTACAGCAGTAAGAGCAACGGTCTTCTTCCTCGAAATTTTCGTGCCGCGCAGAAATCAACAGACCACAACATGGTCCCAATACAGTATGTGGTTCCGTAAAGAACAAAGAGGGGGCGCGGGACGCCGCCAACACTATTTCCGTCTTCAAGGGTACAGACTGTCTATCTTCTTCGTGGTTATTTTCATATTTTGTGCGTCGCAGAGCAACAGCTACGCCCGCGGGCAGGCTAGTTTGTTTCTTACACCAACAGTTTAGCTAGGAGTCACAACCTGCAGTGTATCGTGTTACACGAGGAGACAAGACGATGCACAGAGCTTTGATTGTGAGCGGTTTTTCAGGCACCAAACCAGAACCAACGTGCCCCCTGTATTGCGACTACTTTTATGTGTACCCTACACTATCACGACGGTAACGAAATCAACTATTTTTTTTTTTTTGGCTTCACTTCACATCAGCGCTCACAGCACTAGTGCCGTTTAATCCAACCCGTGGTCACACAGAAGAGCCCCGCTCTACCTTCCCCTCCTGCGGTACTTCACCTTCGATTTTTAATGCGAGAAGAGTTCAGCACTCTCTTCCCTCTGTGTACGCACGAACTAGCGCTATCCACTAGGCCAGGAGCGGAAGCGAGAGAAAAACTCACTTTGCAAGAAAAGCTCGCTTGCGCCTGGATTCGAACCCCTGACGTGACCTCTAGGATGTGTCGAGGATACCAACTAGACCACCGGGGCGGCCATGTGGCAACTCGAAACAGGAGCGGCGGGTAATAACCAATAAACGTTGTTGGGCAGCGTACCGTCGAGGAGAACGTGTACCCTCACGCGACAACTTTGTCCCTTGAACTGCTGCTGTACAGTACAACGTGCGTTCAGGAGACTGACTGCATGTTGAGTAGCCTGCTGTACAACAAGCAATCAAGGCCCGGCACAAGGCACCCTCTCACCCAACCTACTGCTGAAAGTAGCAATTTACTGTAGAGCAAACACGCAGAGTGCGCAAGCAGAAGAAGGCGTTGCCGCTCCTGTGTGTGTTGCAGAAACGAGTGGTGGACCAGGTGCTGCCGAATCACCTACTACCGCTAACGTACAGCCGTAGATGGAATACAAGATCCAACGCAACTATTGTTTAGCCAGTAGGAAAATACCGCACAATTGAGCAAGAGGATCCATCCACGCGTCTCCTACCTGGCGGGTAATACCGCAGCAGAAATCGCTTCAGCTTCATCTTCTTTGCGGCAGCTCCAGCGTCGTCACAACCGCGTTTAGTGCTGTCCGTCCCTCTCTCTCCCTACAACAGCGCTGCGATCTTTTAGGCTTGTATGTTTTCCCACGGGTCCAACAAGTCTCTCCGTCGTAATCAGCCCACTGTGTTCTTCGCCACACTCCTCCCCAACGAAGAGAGAACAAGCAACGTATGTGAGGCACACTCAGCGGCAGCAGTGGGAACGAGTTGGGCGGAGAGGTGGAGCAGGTTGGTCTTCTCTCGCGGGACCTCACCCTGTGCGGAAGATGAGAATTGAAAGCTGTAGACCGTACCGTATCGTACTGCGACCTAATTTTGCGTATACGTCTGCGGTGATGCAGCTGCAGTCTCCACGCTTTTCAAGTGCACAGGCGGGGGTCACCGTGAATCGTAAATGTAACGAAGACGGCATACGCATACTATCCTCCTCCAACGGCCCCCCTCGGGCGTACCCCGCCTTGTTGTGAAGGACCACGACGGTCTCCTGGTCGGGGCCCTACCACCAGAGCAGGGGGCAACTACAAGGTAAAGCTGGGGAAACCTTTACGAGCATAACCTGTCGGAGCGAGGCACTTCGGAGAGCGCTCGTCTTCCGATTTCCCTGCGCGAGCGAAGAGGAAACCTGAAACAGTATTACCCATCGCTTGCCGTGGCTCGTGGTTGAGTCAATGCGGCTGCTGCGTGCAGCGAATGCCGCCGGCACGAACGGCGATGTCTCTAGAGGCACAGGGCAGTCTCGGTGGTTTCGACTCTGGCTCTGGGTGCTTCTTTGGGGCGTGCTGACGTCTGGGGTGGAGCCCTCCCAGCGCGCGGCGGGCAAAGCCGGATCATGCTTGGATCTACAGGTAATAGTCCAGTGCTGACTGCGCTCTGTGCTGGGTTGAACATTCCACGTGCTCTTGCAATAGGGTTGCGAGTTGGGCCATCATGCCCACGCCCGTGGTTGGTTGCCTACGCACTACCCACACACAGGACGGACGAAATATTCAGAGTGGAAACGGTCCGCTCTGTCTGTGGAACTCTGGCACATGGGGGTGAAGATCGTGCGTGCGAGGCACACAGCACGACGTGCACGGGCAAACGCGCCTGCCTTTGGATCGTACAGCAGTCTAGCCTCTCTGCGAAACGCATGTTGGCTGTGTACCGACCGTCCGTAGATACCCTTATTGGACGTCCGACATTTGATGACGCTCACATAAAACTGCCGGGTTTTGCTCTATTCCATCACGTGTTTGGTGGTTGTCTGCTGTGTCTATGACCATGAAGGGTTGAGTGAATCTCCACCTCGATAGCAGTAATTAGTAGTCGTTGGGGGGGTCCCGACTTCTCGCCTGCTGCGAGAAAATAACTGCATTTCGGCTCAAGAGAACGGAGCATGGTTGCGAGGAGGTCAAGGAAGGAGGATCAAGATCCCTATGGGTGGATCCGGGCGGCTGGCTCTCGGGTAGAGAGACCAACCTCAAGTGCCTCCATCCGCCACCACGCGGCCTCTTCAAGACCGCCGACCAGCCCAAATGGCGGACGGGCAGGACAACTACTGAGCTGTGAACGCCAACCGCCATGCACACAATCGCGATCACTGCACGCTTGTGCACGAAAGTGGCAAACGCGTTACAACCCGTGTCAGGGGAACATTTCGCATGTGTGCTTAAACCCTTTGTGTACCCCCGCTGATCCACTACCCGTGCTTCGTTTTTCTGACCCCCTCACCACCTATTTTTTTGTTTTTTTGGCAGTCCGCGCCTGGCTGCACCGCTAGACTCGAGAAAGGCTCTGCGCCCAGTACAACGGCCCCGAGCACTAGCGACGACACCATCGCGATTGGCAACCGGGAGCCAACCAACAACGACATCCACCGCAGCCAGAGGAAAACCCCACCTGGGACAACTACTGCCATCAGTCACAACGGGCGCCGCTCTGCATCAGCACCGCAGCGCGACGGGCCCTCAGCAGCAGCAGGCGCTCAACTGGACGACCGCGATCCAGGCAGCGGCCTCGCGACACCATCCAGCCCCGGCGGGGACGGGCCCAGTCCGTCCTCCGGGCGCTCCGCGTGGGTGTCCAGGCAGCGGGTCGGCGAGGGGAAGCAGGCGGGCCGCTTTGGCGCGGCGGTGGTGAGGCTAGAGCCTCGCGTCCTACACTTCGGTGAAAGCCCGCTGTGTATCCCGACCTCGGCAACCGTGGAAGTGAAGAACCAACGGGAGAGCCATATGACGTGAGTTGGCACGGCCGGGATGGGTGTATGGCTGGCCCCCACTGATGAGATATTGTTTTCCTGGGCCGCCCAAAAAAGGGACCTTACTAGTTATTTTCTCGGCGCTGCTAGTGTTGTGTAGCGTTCGGAGGAGGAGGAGGAGGAGGAGGCGCGGAGGTGGGAAACGGCTTGGCTCTTGTTGTGGCACGATGGTTCAAATCCCCTCGCTCCGTGAGAGAAAGAAAGTAGCTCCCTTCTACCAGCGGCGGTGGTTGTTCCAGCGTGTTCGGCATCTGATTGGTCAAGCCGGTGCATCTTGTGCTGTCGGCCGGACCACATGTCGCCGGAGTTGTAGCTGGAACTCCCCCCCCGTTGTCCACGTGTCTATCCCTCGTTTTTCGCCGCCGCAGGCGGAATTATCCACCTCCTCTTATCCCCACCCCCACCACGCATGTCGGTTGGCTTTCTTGTCCCAGGCGCAGCGCGCGCACTACCGCTGGGCGACAAAAGGGCTGCCCGTGGACTCCCGAGGACAACCCTTCGAGGGGGCCGCCAGAGTGCTCACGGGGCGGCGAGGGGTACGAGGGTGGTGACGACGACGACGATGACATGCGACAGGGGGCGGGGGGGGGGGGGGGGGGCGGGTCCGGGGCGGGGGATTCATGGAACAAGGTTGCAGCAGAAAGGGGAGGAGGCGGGGTCGGGGGGGATGGGGAGGGGTGGGTTCGGCTCCTGTCGGTGACATCCGACAATCCTCAGTTCCACCCCGCGTTTTTCCAGCCACAGGGCCCTTCCACCAGAGGGGGAGATTTTTTTCCAGGCGAGTTGGGGGGGGGGGGGTCCTGAAGTTGCCTGCCATGTGTTTTCGAGTACCGCTCCAACTGTCCAGTTTTCCGTGCGTGCGTGTACCTCCAACCGCGGGTTGTTGTTTCTCCTGCAGTTGACAATTTCTTCACAGCAGTGTGTATTTGTGATGTTATGCCACGTGCTATCCAACCACCGGCTGTCGTTGCTCCTGCCGTTGTTGAAGGTTTCCCAGGTTGTTTGTGTTTGTGTGTGCGTTGTTGTTGTTGCCGCGCACCCAGTAATACCACGCGTGACACACCCTTCCGCCCCCCGCCCTTTGGCGTTTGTTTTTTGCAGGTGGTGTTTCTCCCGCAGGCAGTCGGTGCGGTGGATGCGGTGCTGACGGTGGCCACCTCCGCGGGGGATATCCGCTACAGGGTGCAGGTGGGCTTGTGTGTCGGCAGGCGTAGCCGGCATGTTGTACTTTGCGGTGCTACTCAACCCCAACTCGGGCAACTAAGAAGAGGTAGATATACCCATGTCTTGATGCACAACCCCCTGTCGGTGCTGCTAATCTTAACGACATCCTTGTGTTGGTTTGACCCAGCAGCAGTGCTGGTATGATTTTTCTGTGGGACGTTTGCGCCCTGTTTGTGAGGGATGAGCTTCGCGTCCGCGCTTTTGTCTTGCCCTCGCCGGAAAAAAGGCTTGCACGGCCCGCCGCGCTTGGAACCGTGGAGGTTGCGTTTTTTTCCGTTGAGCATCTACGGAGATACAGAAGTCTGAGCGCCGTTCTTTCGCGTAGCATGTTCCAATCGTTCGTCTACTGCTGTGCATCATACTGACTTGCGACCAACGTATGCATACCCGTTGCCTTGTATACGACTAGAGTCAGTGCTTTGACAGCTCCCCCCCGCACCTCCTACTTGTGCTACCTTTAACGGCGTGCCCAACCATATTTTCGCTTGGACCCCCCCCTCCAAAGGCCAACGCTGTGGAAAATCCGCACAAGGTCCACCCGATCGTCGTGACCAATATCCCGGTCGGCTCCACCTTCACGGGGCCCATCGCCGTCTACAATCCGCTAGACGAGGCGGTACTGTCAATCACAGAGGTAAGGGGGGACGGAGGAGAGGGTTGTGGTAGAGGTTTGCGCTTGCTGGGGGAGGCGTCGATAGAGTGTTGTGGGCGTCCTTGGATTGGATGATTGGATGTAGCTGTAGGGCTTGGGTCTGCCTTTTTGTGGTCCCTTTTGAGAATCGTGTTGGTTGAGGAATGGGTGGGTGTCAGGAACTTCCGTAGTCCCTCTCTCAAACGGAAAGAGGATTGGTGGGACTTGTGGCATAAGGCGTACAACAAACAAGAATGCTGCACGAGAACGTGTTTTTTTGCTGGTACAGCAGTAGCGTGGTGAGCGCTCAGGCGGGCACACGTTTGAGGGGAGGGGTGCTGCATACTCGAACGGGTGAAAATGAACGTGGCCGGCTTCCCCTTTGACCTCCTCCGTCCCTCTCACTTCTCGTCGCCCGACTTTGGTGTCAGGTGTTCACCACCGAAGGGTTTCTTCGGCTTGTTATGCCGGAGAGCTTGACGGGAGGATCGGGGGTCGCCACCCCGAAGGTTTCCGCTAGAAAAGGCGGCGTTACCGGTGCCGGTTCGAGGAGAAACCGTCATCATCATCACGGCGGCGACACCGAGTCGCTTCCGACGGCATTCAGGGACCCTGGTCAACCGGTGGAAGCGTGGCACCCAAAGGTATGTGGGTGTGTGTAGGTTTACTTTCGTGCTGCTTGTTGTTGTGGTTGCCGTTGCGGTGGTTTTTTGCCGGCTGGTGGTTTTTCTGGGTGCTCTAAAAGGTTTGCCCTTTGCCGGTAGTAGCTACAACAGGTGCTCTTGAACAGGTTTCCGCATGGACACTCCCGCAAGTAGGCGGATGCGACAAGCAAGCGTTTGTGTGTACGTGTACTTGGTGTGCCACGATTGCTGTCGACCCGTGTCAACCGAAGGAACGATAGTTAACCTTACGGCGGGGTTCTGTTTGTTCTGTCTTTGGTTCTGGCGTGATGGTCTCGTATGGCGCACTGTAGTAGCTTCGCGATCAGGTTTCAAGTAGGCAGGCGCAAGATGGAATGGGCGTGTAGTTCGCTCTCTTCGAGAGGCACCCTGGTGTCTGCGCTTTAAGCGCTTGTATTCACTTTGAATTATTCCAGCGCCGGTGCACCAGTCGCCTCCTACCTTTCATGTTTTCGTCGTCGAGAAATAGGGGGGCACCGCAGGTATAATATCCACCCACCTACCTACCCCCCTGGAAAGAACGGTTGGCCATCGATGATGGGTCCCGTCGGAACAATGCTCCTTCCCTCCTCTCGAGGACGCGTGGTCAATGCTCAACCACGAAGGCATTCAAAACGGTAAGAAAGCCGCCCCCGCCCCCTCGTTTCTCTCGCGCAAAAGCCGCCAGGTTTGCTGGTAGAAGGCAGCCCGGAGCACAGGTCAGCGTGGCGCATCCCGCCGGGTGCAGAGATGGAGGTGATACGAGTGTCCTTCACGGCGGAGACTACGGGGGAGTTCCGGGTAAGCCCTGTTTTTTTTTTTTCCTTTTTTTTTTGCAGGGTAGGGGGTCTCAGGGAGAGGAACCCTTTTGTGTCTTTGTGGCCACGGATTAGAGCTCCTGTTGTTGTTGTTGTTGTTGTTGTTGTTGTTGTCTTCACATTAAAAACCGTTCCGATCTCTCTCTACCCAGTACTGTATACCCGGCGGAAAATATTTTGAGCGCTTATGTAAAGTTATGATGAATAAAAAAGAGGTCCGGTGAAACCCTACAAGCAAGCCTACCCGACGCGGATACACAGGCAGCTCGGAAGAAATCGACCGCCTACCGGGGGCGGGAAAGAAGAATGGACAAGCGACCGGAAAAAAAAAGTGCATCTAGCCAAGACCTGCCTGATGTGTACAAAAAGAGCGGGTGCCTCCGCGCCTCTTCTGGCTTTTAACCGGCCGTGCGCCCGTGCTTGTCTTCTAGCTTTACTTGCCGTGTTCCTCCCGGATGTTTTTTTTATCGTTCTTGCATCAATTGAGCACCACACCATTGTAGTCCTGACCACCGCGTTGCCCCTGAGACACCGCCGTCCTCGCTTTTTTTTAATGTGTTGTGTTTGGTTTGTAGGGGTACGTGCACATCCGCACCGACGGCGAGAGTATGGTGGTCCCGGTGGAGTTGCACGTGTCGAAGGGAGGCGTCGACCCTAGTCCATTGGAGGTGGACTTTGGGGTGCTCACTTCTTCCCTCGAGCGTCGCCAAGCGTCTGTCTCACTCTACAACGGGTGAGCATCGTCGAGGGTACTTTTTTTTTTGTGTGTGTGGTTGGGCGGTACAGCAGTAGAGTTGTTGTTGTTGTTGTTGTTGTTGTTGTTGTTGTTTTTGTTTATGTTGTTGTTTACGGTGATGTGCTGTCGGGGGTTGTGTTTTGCCTACTTCTCTACATGTTGCGGTGTGTTTCTGTTCATTGGAGGAAGGTGGCGCGCGCCTACGAAAAAATAGTGAGATAACGTCGCTATGGCTAAGCTTAGCATCACCCACACGGACACCCGACCAAATCAGTCCCGTGCACCAAACACAAGTACACAGTACACAACACCGTATGCATAGGTGGTGACGCCGAGATATCACACTCCCTGTACCGGGTTTCTAGAGCTCGATTTCTCCACAGCAGACACGAGTGGCATTGTCGAAAATGGCGGCGTTGGGACCTCCTCGTCGAAGAGCTTCCCCGAAAACACATCATTTTCAATTTGGCATCATCTTCATCATGGGGTAATCGAGCTTTGAAAATCGGTCCAGGGGGTGTGGTATCTTACGTCATGTCAACTACGGTGCGTACCCGAGGGACTCCCAGCCCCGTCCTAACTGTGACCCTCATCTCTCTCTCCCCCTCCTTTTTGGCTCCCGTTTGCTTTTCAGCGGCACCCAACCAATACTGATCCTGGGCGCAAGCGTGAGCAACCCCGACCCCCGCATCAACGTGGGGTTTCGCGAAGGCACGGTTATTGGAGCGGGGGAGGGGATGGACGACGCCGTTCGGCTTGTCTACAGCGGGGGCGAGCCGTTGCTGTCCGGGGGGGAGCACGCTTCAGGTTAGACGAATTGTTTTTGGGGCGGTGTTGGAAAGTGCAGAGGTGGGGGGGGGGGGGGGGCGCCCCCCCCTGTTTTGCCTGCATTTGGGGTTGCCAACCCTTTACCCCCCGGCCCCC